CGGCTGCTTCTATTATGCTCCCAATGTAAAGGTCGAGCTGCTGTTCTCCAATTTTCATTGACTCCTTAGAACTGGGAGTAGCATTCTGAAAGTAATAAATCATTACATTTCTTAGCTGAAAAACTGTAAAAGAGAAAAGTATAAATAAACTCCCTATTTGCTGTTATAATATTAATGACAATGATTAATTAATAAAGGTATTTAAATGTTATGATTGATTCTTTTGATACAAATTGTTCCTTACGCACAGCAAGCACTACACTTATTTGAAACCCCATTTGAAGCCAGCCGGTGCATACATAATTCTATATTTAAACTCAAGAACCTGGTACTTAATAGGCTCCTAGCTTTAAGGCAGCTAATGCATCAGGTTTAAAATGAAAAAAATAAATTTTTTTACATATTTAAAAGGAGAAAAGTCACTTTAGAAAAGTAAAGTAGAAACTATTACCCTGGTCTTGATTCCTTTAGAGGTTCAAGTAGTTCATGTATGATATACACACTAAATCTTAATTCTTTAGAGTTCTGTCACAATATACAGACTGGTAAACCAAAAGCTGGTAAATCCTTATAGGTTTATGCATAGTAGACTCAAAGAGATTTGATAAACAGGGTTTGAAAATAAGGAGAATCTAGTGCACTTTAGACAAGGTTAGTTAGTTTCCAATTGGCAAATGTTGAAAATAAGCTAAAAAGTGCGCCATTGCCATACGTAACATAATCCAACTGCGCTCTTTCTTAAAAAAGGTAGATTATTGCATTTCTACGACAAAGAGACCCTCACCATATAAATTGAATGTCAAGCAATCGACAAAGAAACGGCCGCCATACCAAAGTGAGCGTTTGAAGAAAACGAACGAGCAGCTGAAGATTTCTTTCCTCTCTATCGATCACTTAGAGTTCTCCTTCACGTTTTTGGACAGAGATACTCTGTCTAATACTCTCCAATACCCTCCTTTCATAACGTCTGCCAGACGATCGATTGTGACTCGTTAGAAAAGTTCGCCATGTTTTAGCCTTAAATTTATTCCCTGCCCCTCCCCCGTAAAGACGGTGTTTTGACTCGTAACCAGGGTCCACGCCGTGCCCTAACACTTTTCTTTAGAAGATTCCTTTTAAAGGGGAAGTACGGTCTAGAAAAAGTTTACCTATATCAAAAGTTTCTGACTTGTTTTTTCATAATTGGCAATTCATTTGAGCTTTAAGTGTATTTGTTGCCAGAAATCGAAACCGGGTCATATTTGTTCTTATCATGCGCCAATTTGGACTACCAACAAGTCCAACCGGAGCGGTGCTATTCCGTCGATCTCTAAGACCGTTGTTGTTGTTGTTGTTTTTGTTGTCATGGTTGTGTTGTTGCTTTATTCGTAAAAAAGACGAATTTTGATTACCTAAGACCTGTGCATTTTGATGTAGCAGACTTTTATGTTTATTAGTTGGCGGTAGCTGCCAATAAGTAAGAATAGGATTTCCTTGCGCTTGCTTTGGTACCCGCTCTTTGGAGTTGTTTTGGTCCCCAACTCCGTTTTTTTTTCCATGCTCCGCGTTCATTTCAAACGGTGTCACTTTTCACTTGAGTTTTGGGGATATGAGTCCAATCGAAAAACAGTAGTGAAAACATTTGCGTGATGCAAAAGTAACATTACAAACACCGTGCAAAATGTTGATTGCATATATTATATATTATTATATATTACTTCTGCTTTAATATTACTTTTAACTAACCCTTTCCCATTATTCAGTTATTTATTATTGGCGTCAAATTTCCTTGCGTTTACATCTGGTCCTTCACTTCCTACGCTTTGTCTCTTGGCTTCCTCTTCCAACACATGAATTCTTCTTTTTCTTCTCATTTAAATACAAATCAACTTTATGTATGCAGGAGCCCAAAGGCCTGGCACACGACAATTTCCGAATTTGTTCGACGAAATATGGCTAGGAGCTCATTTTAACCACCCCAAGTACAAAAATATTAACAATGAATAGTACTCACGTTCAGAGAATTCATCTCTTTGATTGCTTCCATCACTTTCTTGAATTTTCCTCCGAATGACTTATGAAGCGCCTAACTCCAACCAACGGAAAGTTATAACGATGGGTTGTAATTTTCGCGCGTTATGATGACGTAACAGACGAGATAATAAACCAATCAACAGATTAGCAAGTAAACGTAACTTCTGCCTCGTTTTCAGGCGCCTTTGTACTGGTTTAGGAAAGGGCGGGAAACTGACCGAGTGCGCAGACTGCTGTATAGGAGGATATTGATAGATTTTGATAAACGTTCGCCCATTGACTGTCTAAGGCTCTAATTTACTCAAAGCGATTGCAAAAGCAACGGACAAGAATAAGAAACGAGACTGAGAAAGATCGGGAGCTTTAAAGGAAAAATAAAGTAGTGCGTCGTTCCGCAGGTAAACCAGTGTAGGGCTGTCGGTTGCTTTGGCCACCACGATGCGCTGACCACTGACCGCGAAAATTTAGCACAGACTTCTCGCAAATAAAGGATTCTGGATAGAAGAATGAGAAAGATCGGGAGCTTTTCAGGAAATGACGAAAAGAGCGCGTCCTCCCGCAAGAAAACCAAGTCTACAAGCAAGCTGTTTTGTCGTTAATGCTTAGTTTGCTTGCGAACATGTGAAAATGAGAGAAACATATGAGTGCTAAGTTCTGCTTCGTACGAAGCATGAAACCACTTGGCTATAAATTAACAAACATTCCTTGCCAAAAGTAAGATTCGCTCATCCGACCTGTAAATGATACAGAAGAGATGATATTAAACCTTTGACCACAAGCAGTGACCATTAAGTAATTTTTGGCCACAAGTTCATTACACAGTTTTTTTAAAGCTGGATTGAAGCTTTGATATCCCAACAAATTGTCGATATAAAAAAACATGGAAATATATGTAGGGCAGCAGTTATGAACATCCATTTTCAGATGCTGGGAGTGAGTACGTAGCTTCCAAAAACTGGAAAGGTTTCTGGAAAGTATTTCACTTTGGATATCATGGTTCATTTTACCTGATCCGTAAAACATTCTACGAGGTGGCTCTTCTTGTCCACTGACACAAATTGTCAATAAACAATGCAGGTAAACGTAGAGTTTAAAAATCTCAATTGGCCGGAGGCAAACCAATCGGCTATAGACAAAGTGCAGCCAAGGAGTTGAGCTCGAGCAATCGAGAACAAATCCAGTAAGTTGCAGGGTAAAGGACTTTAACCTGGAACCTAGTGCCTTAATCACTCGGGCACACAAGATCAACGCTGTTATTTCTGTGAGTCGTGACGTTTGTTTTCCTAAACCAATTCACACGCAACACATGCCCTCTAGTATCAGGCTTCAGGAGTCTTGTGTTTCATTTCACGTCATTTTTCACCTCAAGTGAACGCCAGATATTTTGTATTGTACTGTTTTGTTTTTCTTCCCTCCTACCCTCCCACCCTCGGTGATTTTACGTGATGTCATAGGGTGGCAGAGAGGTTTACTCAGCACATCATTGGCTGTTGTTTACTTTTCGTTCGTATTCTTAATAAACTTCTCTCTGTGCCGAAAAGCGAATTGTGTTTTATTTGTGTCAGGGAGCGTAGTTGGAGAATAAGTTTCTTTTAGGAAAGGCTTTTCAACGACGATAGGAACATCCTTTGCAACCGCATTACTTTGGAAGGAAAGAAAAATCACAGGGTACCCACTCTCGTCCGAGGAGCTACTCGTTTTCTCTCATTTCGAACATGAGGAATGCTTGTGGATTGTGTTTCTAAGACTTACCTCATAAGTTAAACGTTTAGGGTAACAAGGAAACATGTAAAAATACTGAGAAAAAATGTCAAAATAATAAAAGTAATTACATAAAGTATAGCTAATTAAATCGTATGAAAGTGAGAGAATAATGTTATGCGAAGCGCTCGAGAAGTATTTTACTAATGTTAAGGTATGCGTATACGAAGTATGCTAAGTTTTTGGGAGATTTCTACTCCAAGTGCAGTCTATTAAGTATATTTTGGTTGCTTTTGGCCTCGCACCAGCTGCAGACATTGTAATTAACAACGTATGAATAAATGGGTTTAGTTTCTAAGGAAATTGTGGTGCTGCATCGGTGAGGGGTACAATAAGATAATTTGATTTTATAATCCAACTGCACAAGGTAGAGTTCAAATAACGCGAATATATGTATATACCACATGTGTACAGTTGGTTATTTTGTACTGTAAAAAAATCTGTTTAACCGGCCGGCTGCGCACGCTGCGCTTCTCTATCCACTTTGCTTTTCCCGCCTTACGAGAAATGAGCAGAAAGACTTGGCGAAAAAAAAAGCAGTTGGATCATAAATAACCTAGTGGACTATTCATTGGTGTGTAGTATTCCCTAGTATTTTCACTCCTTGTTTGAATTTGACGAGCCTGTGGGGGAAGTCAAAATACGGCACAGCTCCTAAAAATACTCAAGTATGTCACCACCAGATAAAGAAAATCCGAAAAAATCACCTTGAATCTTATTTCGCAAGATGATCATCTCACAGCTGGAGCTTGGGCTGCCTGTGGTGTGAGTTCAGATAAGTTAAGTTTTTTTTTCTCTCAAGGTGAAGTAACGGGATATTTTCGTCCGTCTGAAAGTCATGCTCTTTTTTTGTTACATGCCTAACAACTCATGTTCCATCACGTACCATAAAAAACAACGTCCGAAGTCCGCTAGAACATACCCAATCATTGCACTACACGAACATTAGTCAATTTTTTTACGTGCTTGAATTGTATTCCACCAACCAAATTCACATTTACGCGCGCCCGGGTATTATTCACTATTCATGACTCATTTCCTCGGGAAAGTTAACAATGTATCATCAACTTTTGGTTTTCCTGAGAATGTCACGCAATGGTAAAAACATCAGTATGGTCGTGAAACAAAAAGTGAGTCATTTCCATCCTGTCGCGGTCGAGTACTAGGAAAAGAGTACCCTCTCGACACCGTTCTTGTTATAAGTCACCTTCTGAAGAACTCATCAAAATATCTTCGGTCTTGCAAAATTTTACAAATTTAACAGGTTCTTAAGGACGAATTCCACGCTCCGTCGTTGACGAAACGTCGTTTTAAGGTAAGCTCTGAGATAATTCATTAAACCAAGTGGATTTTTGTCTCACCCACTCGCAGTGTTCCATCAGTAACATTGCCAGTTTGTATTAACAAAGAAAAATTTTTTGCATTGTAAAATAAAGACAATCCGGTATGAGGCGTGGGGTCTTGGTTTCATATAGGTCTTCCAGCAAAGTGAGCCGGCAACAACACACTAGACCATATGATCGCAGACAAGAGCAAGTTATGAAAATGTTATCGATCTAAAGTGCTGTGTCCCTGCTTACTCCATTTTTTTCTTAGAAGAATATTTAGTGAGAACCGAGAAAACTGAGTGTTACGAGATAATCTGAAGCCTTTTTCCTTTTTATTTTGATTATAAACTACCGTCTACGTGTTACATCCTGTTCGCATTATAGAAATTGAAAGAGGAAACAGTTGTCACAAACATATGTTTCGAGGGGAAGATGTAAAACGCTCCTTGCTTATTAAATGATAAAAAACTTGGCAGATATTTTCAGTCAGAGAAAAATTTATGGCGACAAATCAAAAAACGAATTCTTTAACGTATCATTTGACTTCTTTTGAAATAATGTAGGTTTAATTAAGAACACAGCGTAACTGAATATTTATCAGCACACCTGTGGAAAATGAAAATAAGCCTAAATCCAGCTCGTACATAGATTTTGGAATAATTGATCGTCTTCTTTACTCTTTTTTTTGTCCTACATAAATTAACGAGTGAACCACATGCTCCTCGTTCTTGTTCGTCATAACTCGAGTCGGAAATTTAACGAAAATTTGAAATGAGATTGCTTAATTGCATTTGTTTGTTCCACATAAAATCATGAGTGCACCACGTGCTACCCGTTGGTGATTTTCATTGAAGGCATTTTGGGTGGCGAATATTTATCTATTAGTTTAGTTTGAAATGACCGAAGGAAATAGTCCAATATGAAAGAAAGAAAACATTACAATTAATCCGAGTCATTTCGTTAGTGCCATACCTCCTGACTGTGGTGTACTCAAAGTTCTACGGAGCATGCCCGAAGGTGTGGTTGCAAAAACAACATGGTGCGATCGGTAAGAAGTAAAGATCGTGTAGATTATTGTTGCTTCTTAAGGCAAAAGGGAATATAAACCCGGGGTAAAATTGTATCAAGTGGAAAGACTTGTCAGCAAGCGGAAATGGTCGAACAAAGTTTCGCATATTATCATGATAATTGACACTGAGTTGCAAACAGTGGACGGCTGATTTTATTACTGGCGTATTTACGTGTACACTATAATAAATCACATTTGAAATACCTACCTTAAAATGCCTGGCTAAATTTCCAAAGTGGCTACCAAAACAACGAAAAAAAAGTGCCGATGCGGCGAGCGCTTTCTGTATTTTTTTGCCCTGTTGTGACACATCCCTGGTGAAAATCTTTGAAGGATCTTTAACGATCCTAAAAAATCTTTATGAGAACCTTTAAAGATCTTCAAAATTCTTGTTAAGATCTTAAAGGATATTTCATTCTCTTGCCAGGATCTTCAAGGATCTTCAAAGTTCTTGTGAAGATCTTCAAGGATCTTTCATTTTCTTGCCAAGATCTTTAAGGATCTTTCATTTTCCTGTCAAGATCCACGAACAGTTTTCATGTCAAATATGCAGTAAACTGCTTCCGTATCACCCTTTGTTTTCAAGGTGTCCGATCAGGTATAACTGAAAATGACACCTCACTTTGATAGGAATCCTTTTGTTGTTGCTTCTTACTTCCTGAAATTATCACTTGAAATTCGCTCGGTAATGTAAAAAAAAAACAACAACAACAACGCGAGTAATACATATATATCCAAATTCTTTCATCACAGGAAAAGTTGTAGGACCTGATAGCATCTTAGGGACGGACCATTAGATTTTTGATGCGGGTGGGGGGGGGAGTATTGGGATGTTGGGCAATAACCCCCGAAAAAATCGAGCACGGGCTTTATGGAAGAAAACGAATCGTGCAATTGGCCAAACCCCCCCCACCCGCATCAAAAATCTAATGGTCCGTCAATAAGGTACTTTTTACATTATTCCAAAATGGGTTTCATTCCGGAATGAAATGAATTTCATGCCACGTTGACATGCAAGATAATTTAGATTATAAAAACAGGTAGTAAAAACAAGTATTTACGTCCCTTTTCTATGCTTCCCTGGCTCCTACAGAGGATTCATACAGATATGAGTGTCGTACTGCGTTTACATTATACAGGTACAAAAGGTCGTCCAGAATAAGTGTTTCTTTCTGGAATGAAAACCTCAGTTAACTCATTCAGAAATGACTCGTTTCGAATAATTTTACTCTGGCATCATGTGGCAACCGAGATAAACTCATTCTTGAACAAAACTCATTCCGATATTATGTAAAAGGCCCCTAGGAGTTTTTATTCCCAGAGCATCATGCTATGCTTTCCTGCCAGAACACTATAAATTTCAATAGCGTTGAAGCAACAACCCGCTTTGAACTGTTACGCTGCCACTGAAACAACGATTAGTGACCACAAAAGTAACATAATGTAATATTTTCAATTCAACATAAACAAAAATCTTCATACAGGTTAAATATTCATTTGTGTTGGTATCAATTATTGCGTGACTAGCTTCTGATATAGCTGCGATAGGGGAAAACACAACGTAAAACCTGGGCTCCCGGCAAGAAGTAACACCCAAGCGTAATATAATGACCGAAACAGCTTATTGGTGTTATAAAATCATAAATAAACTAGGTAAGAGTGTTAAGTTAGATTTTTTTTCAAATTGTAGCGATTTATGCCTCCATATGCCAATAAAAGGTGGCGACAAATAGACCCACCATGTATATTTCATAGTCGCTAACAAATAAATTTTGCCGGACTTTGAGTTCGTCTCACGATAGAACAACACAATTAAACAAGAAAATTTTTATAGTAACCTTATAACCATCCTTTTTTTATTTTAAAAGCTAGAAGCTCAGTAGATTCTGTCGTATTGGTCATTGTTAAAACTGTCTTTGTTCTGATGCTACTTTTTGACATAGAAAAAGTATGTCGGACAAAAATATTCACCAAAAAATAAATATTTTTGTGCCAGCCTCAATAATGTCAGGGGATTAAGTTTAGATGATAAAACAAAGGATTGTGTCAACAGAAATACCGGAGATCAAGTAAATTCGTTACATGAGGTCACACAACTCGGGTAATATTCAGAGTGAAAATTTGCATATTTGAGCGGTCGAACGAAAAAAAGGCATTTCTCAAAAACTAAAATATATTTTCACAAAAAACCTACACCACAACTATCGGGACATATTGGGCTACAAAATATGAAAGTAGAAGAGAAAACGAATTTGGGCGACTTGCCGCTGTTTGTCTGATGCATGTTGACATTAGCTCTTAACTGGCTTCTGGTTTTGTGTCTATGTATCCCTCCCATTCTCAGAAGGGAAATAATATTTATTTTGCTACTGGGTAATATGTTGAACTGATGTTTACAACCATTTTCAATCACCTTTTTTTCAGGCCAGGATGACTTAAAAAGAACAACTTTTTAGGAAGCATCAGTCTTCTTACAGTTGCTATGGCTACAGGAAGAAGTTCAATTAAAGTTCCATGTGAAAATGAAGACTTACCTGACAAAGAAAATGCACCAGATTTTGACGAGGACACTTTACGAGGTGAGCTAGGTTCAACTTCGGCTTCAGTTATTGTTAGAGCAATTTCTATTCGATCAGTTTCAAGAATGCAAGCAGATGTGGAAAAGGATACATACACTGTATGACCACTTTAAAGGATATTTGGCCAGTCATGACTCTCTTCTATGATTACAAGATGCTGTTCATTGAGAAGATCTGTGACACAGAAACTTTTGCTATTTTCTTTTCTAACAGTTCAAAGCAATAACACAAAGTTATAATAAGTTAAGACTTTATTTGATCATCATATGACATCCATTGTAAGTTTGCATCATAGGTACCATCATCATCATCACCATCATCTTTCTATTTTAATGAAACATAATTACTTTGAAACCTTCAAAATTCCCTCCTTTCTCCTCGAGCAACCCACAGGCATTTGATCTTCATCCAAGCCAAAGAGGGTGGGCGGGGGGGGGGGGAGGGGACTTAACCCTGCCTGACTGGCGTTAGGGAATTTGAATAAAAACTGTCACATCTAATTTCCAGTAGAGTACAAGTGTTAATTATCATTGAATATGGAGGTGTTTAAGGTAGATAGTGTACTTTCACTAACAAATGGCTCAGAAGAAATAAGACTTCAAGGTCTAGGTTTTAAAGCTTGGTCAATTAGTTTTTAAAGCTTGATCAATTAGTTGAAAGTGAAATTGCTAATTATTTCGCCTTTTACATAAGATTGTGTGGGGCAATTGAACATTTTATTAATTTTTCCTAGGGAATAGGAATTTTAGTAAACCTATCTCCAAAATATCTCATCTCCAGGGGTTTACCTCGAATTAAGTGATGCTTATAATTCTCATCATTATTCTTACCCATGTTGTCACCTACATTGTTAGCATCATCATAACTATTGAAAATCTGCAGATTTGAAATCTCCAGGTCTTGGCAGCTCTGACTATACACGAATAATTATTAACTACGACCACAGACTTTGACACCCATTTTTAAATTTTTTTTCGAATTATTTTATTTTCTCTTTGCAGCCACAGCTGATGTTTATAGGAATGAGGGTAATGAGGCCTTCAAGAAAGGAGATTTCATCAATGCTATTCATTTTTACACCGAAGGAATTAAAATGAACTGCAACGAGAAAGAACTGAAGGTCAAACTGTACAACAACAGGGCAATTGCACATTCTAAACTTGGTAAGATGATGAGAGCTTTAATATGCTTTTTTTTTTTCTATTTTGAAGCTATTGAGTTGTCAGTAGTAGTTTTCTGAAAAAAGGTGATGATTTTGAATGCATGCCCGGAAAAATTTACATCTTATCTTGGCCTCTCAAATATACAAAGAAGTAACCTCTTACCCCAGATATCAACGAGCATCACAAAATTTTCCCAAAATTATAGTAATGGCAGTTGGTTTGCAACGTGTATGGTTAATCAGAGATATTTATTTCAATAACAGGAAATCACCAGGATTCACTAAGGGATGCAGAAGCAGCCATTGAGTTAAATCCAACTTTCCTTAAGGCAATTGTGAGAGGTTAGATATGTTAGCTGTGCTATAATAATAGTAATAAAAAAGAACTCAACACTCTTAAGTTAAATGAGGTTAAATGGAGTTCAATCTTGTCTCAATTGACTTTAATTAAGAGGTCGAGACCACCCTGATGTACATTTGAATCCAGCTCTTGACTGCTACGCCATTACTTCCATTAATCATGATGAGAATATTATTTTGAACGGGATGAAGAACTCAATGCGGAATGCAAAGCAAAATTTCAGCATGAATATTTTAGTTCCTTAAGTTCAATGAGTCACAGGTGTCAGATATGTTAAGAGCGTGTCCACGAGAGCACTGGAGAGTCGTGCTACATGCCATCTCACCGATTTCAATGAAACTTTGTTAGTTTAAAGGGTCTACCCCAAAACTCAAAAAGACAAACTGGTTTTTGTTTCGTTTTTTTTCTGGGGGGAGATAGACAACCCCCCCGGTTTTTCTTAGAAAAACCGGGGGGGTTGTCCAAGAAAATCGCTTCAAATAGGTAAAATGTATGAAGCTCTCACTGCGATGGTATTTAACCGATTATTTTGAGGATTTGCACACATATTTTTACATCCTTAGTTAATGTCTGCTGCGAGTATCAGTCAGTTTGATTGACGGCTTGTCAATCAACAGAGGCAAATATACGACTTTGGTTTTAGACTTTTCGATTCATCCAAATATTTGACAACTTTGAGGTCAAATATCTCCCGTTGCCAGAAAGCTACAACACTAATCCTAATTCCCCTTTATAACCCATCATTTCATCTCTGAAAATCATCAAAAAAATCTTTGGGCACTACCGTATTTTTGTCTTGGATACCTTTTAAAATCTGCGACTGTGACAAGTTTCTCTCAACTACACCTGTCACGCAATTCTTGCTCTAGGCGGTCACTTGACAAAATAAACCTACATTTTTTAGCTCTTTATACAAGATGATTGATCAAGAAAGGTGAAAAATGTGAAAAACTTTCGAGATTTTTTGTAGGAATGGAAAATTTCACGTTTAGAGAGATGCATGTAAACGAAAAATCAATGGGAAAATCGTAGCGTTTCTTTCTTCAGTCGTTTATTACTTTGAAGATTTGCTAAAATCAGCAGATATGGCTTTTGTACGGCACAAAACATTCATTAGTCTATAATATGATTGTAAATTATCATCATTGCTCATTTTAGGAGATTTTAAAGTCACATGCTGCCTGTTGGTTGATATTACCAATTGTTCCAATGTGCTACAACTCGGCTTTTACAGACGAGAAATTCTGCGCTCTCGCTCGAGAGCAAATATCAATAGTTCTATCGGATTAAAAACTGTGCTTCTATCCTGAAAATGAAATTAAAATAAAGTAGTCGTTGTCACTTACCGCCAACGAACATTTCCATGCAGAACTCCGCTCAGCTAACATCTGTTGTGTGACCCGAAGACTCTCCGTAGGAATTATTCAAGCACGTTGTTCATGCTGTCTGCTAGATAACAATTTCAAAATAATCTGCAGCTCCCTATGATTTTTTACCTGCTTCAATCGTAAAATATCTGCATATTTTTTTTCAAGCATTCTATTACTACATATAAATCTACATCTCTCTAGATCGAGTGTTGCCGGCGTTTAATTGCGTGACTTGTAAAATTTTCAAATAAGAATGAGCCAGCAGTAATTTGACGAGTAGCCTTCCTGCAAATTTCCCTCGATGAAATACCAAGACATAGTCAGTTGTTTTCGTAAGCAAAGACAATTAATATGAAAGAAAAGTGAGATGCAAATGTCTTTTTTTTTTTTAGCTTAATAGCAGCTGTACCCTCTCCTGCAGTCTTCGTCTAAATTTTGCAAGGTCCCTCCTTATCTTCTGCCTTTTTCGGTCACTTTCGCATTCTGAAGCTAAATCATTGGCAGCGGCCTCTCCATCCTCATTCATATTTACAGAGGGGGACCTCATCAATAAGTCAATTTTTGTTACGGCAGATAACCGGCTAAAGTATCGAGCGATTTGCTGCTGTATCAACATTAATCAACATTTCTGGCTGGTGTCGTCTCTTAAACTCGATATTTGGGAAATCACATTAGAGGCGGTTGCCTTACTAGTTTCCTCCCTTGTCCAGCACACGTCTAGGAGATAATTCTCTGCTTTCTGAGAAAAGGTGGCTGTTTTTTTGTGTTTTCCAAAGAGCCCATCCAAAGTCCTCTTGGCTAGTTAGGGATTGTTCGTCAGAATTTTTACCTGAGGTCCGACCTTGAACGTAGCCATCCCCTATAGAATGGCAAGCCGCTCTTAGTCCATTTCCTATTGATCTTATCCTAGGCGGAATTTTTTTGTCAGCTTCACTGTGTTTGCTTTGTCAGGGTACATTTGGATGGCAGTCAATGACTGAAACGTCTTGATACATCCTTCTTTTTAGCAAGAATATCTCGCTTTCTTGTTCCATTTATGACGGATTGGGTATAGTTCTCGCGATGACCCGCGTTCAGAAATCTGTGCACGTTGCTGATAACCACCCGCTTCTACGATTAGTTTGCTGAAGGTTTCTAATGTGATGAGCCTAGTGAGACCCTGAGGTGCTTCAAACTGTGCCAGTTGGTCTGCGCTATAAACTTGTCGCAGTTCTTAAGTCAGAGGGAGGATCGCCCACCTCTATCTATGTGAGCGCCTCTACAGTACCTGCGTATCCCTAGCAATCATATGATATAAAGTTCATCTCAGTCACAAATCGCCAGTTAGGAAAACTGATGTTCAGATAAGCGCTCTTCTTGCCCTTCTTCCTTATTCATTACCGACTCTAAGATAGCAGCTACAGTACGCGTTCTATTTAGGTTTACAGTCACCTTGCCGCCACCGGGAAGACTCGCCACCAGCTTTGATTTCTTCTGCCATCTGCAGATTCATCTCTCTCTCACTTTATGTCTCCGATTTTATGTGGAGGATACTGGCATTTACGAACCCGAAGGTCTAAATCTCACACCAAGTTGTGCACGATATTTGAGGTACATCGTGAAATCGCGGCCTTCGTAATCTCCAAATAAGCCAATACGCGCTAGAATAAGCTCCATCTCGGACGAAACGCATGTTTGGGATACATCGACGTCTCTCAAATGTTTTTTTAAAGCTGTATACCCAGGAATTTAGAGGTGTGAGCTGTTTCCGTCCCTGGCCAGCGCGAGAAAAGTAACATTTGGTTCTACAGTTAGTTGCAAATGAACAAGACAACTGCACCATCTTGACTTTATTAATTCGAGTGTTAGATTGAATTGAGGGCTTTTTAGACACTCGATTTCTTATATGACATTACTATGAAGACGTAATACAACTGATACACCTACACTACATAGGATTAACAATGTCTGTTGCACTGTTACGAGAAGGAGGAAAATATTACTGGAAGTGTAAACTCTTTTTAAAAAGAGTTTCAGAGACGTTTCAGAGATGTCTATCTTTGATCGGCTGTCACAAAAAAATGATCCCCACTTAAATTTACTAGGAAAAATGAACTTACTAACTCCTTGTTGAAAAAAAAAGGAATTCATTTGACCGATACGCCGGTTGTTTCAATTTTTCTTTTTCCTCGGGCTGCTATGAAACAGTTCATAAATTGACTAATGAATAAAGTGTTTTGAAATACCGTTCGGGATTTGCCTTTTTTTCTGCGTGCAAATCAAGGGTAGACAAAGTTTTTAAAACATTTGACTAGAATTTCATGGAGTTCACCTCGATAGTTTTCGTCGGCCAGAGTCAAGACGCGCCTCGCTAAGCGACATCGCCCTCTAGCAAAATAATTTTCCAAAGAATAAACGTGGCGAGCGTGAGGAAACGCACATTTTTCTCATCATTGTGATCAAAGCCCAATAATGTACCTAAATAGGTACTTACGGTATCAAACCATTGATTATGACAGGGTGAGCTTAGTTTTTATGTCGAGGTCGACGTGACTTCACATTAAAAGCATTTTTGACGGAACAAACTAGTGAGCATCACTGCACGAACTAAGAAAGAAAAAAATGTATTTATCTCCTACGCGTTTCGTCTGACAACAGTAGACTTCATCAAGGATTTTTTCAAGTAGGATAAATAAGCTTGTTCATATACAAATAGTAAATAAGTTGTCTCTTGCTATTGAAGCCAGTGGATAGAATTCGCCAGGTGCGCCTACGGTGTTATACATGACTGACATTTTCCGAACGTTACATGTACGAGTAAGTGATCCGTTTGAGGGTCACAGATTAAGTGTAAATATTTCACTCCTCAACATCACCCAATGTCTCTAGTTTACTGAGGTCTTAGAACGTTTCATTATATGGAGTTGCCTTCTGCGGGTAGAAGGCTACAAGCGAATTTCTCAGGCGTAATTGCCTTTGATTTCTCAATTGATGTTGTCGCAAACACAGTTTTTGGGAGTCACGAGACAAAAAAAAAAACTTATCAGGACCTTGTTTCATTTGCTAATGGAAATAAATAGCAAATAAAAACACATTTTCTTGTGAAATAAAGTCACAAATGACGGGGGTTCTCCGAAACAAATAGTGATAGAAAAGGATTTCAGTTCTGGTCAATATTGACTTTTCATGGCCTACTTCCAAATCTGAGGGAACGCGCTGAGGGAATAAAAAAACATAAATGTGTGATAATGCAAGCAAGAGAATGAAAATCCAAATGAAGAAAAAGGAGAAAACATAGGAACCCGTGTTGCAGCGTGCAGATATCTTTTGAGCCAGACCTACACACCTAAGCCCGACACCACCCAGAGAAACTCGAAAGAGTCCTGTATATGAACTAGCTCGCACGTGCACGCAGGAAAGGCCATGACAATCAGCGAAAATAATAGCAAATGCAAATGATATTTGAAGTCAAAAAACAGGAAAATAAGATAACAGAAGGATTAAGAACTTTCTAGAAGTTTCTTCTTCAAAAAAAAAGATGAACAATTTTACTTCTCATGAAAGGTCACGCAGTAACCCTACAAATACTACAACTACAATACTCTACGTGGATTTCTTGATGGTGGAAAGTGAAAAAAACATTTTCCAGTCTTATTTTCTGGAAACATGACGTAGTTAATGAATTTATGGGGCTACTGGTACTGATTCCTACCAAATAAGGGGGGCAGAGTTTCCCGTCATTCGCGGTATGGAAAAGCCGAAGTTGTTACACTTGGGAACTTGTACGTCAACAAGCAGGCGACATGTGACTTTAAAATCTCCTCTCCTGTTACAGTTTCCTTATTGTAAACTGTGTGATGATAATAATAGACGATCAAAGTAGAGGCTAATGAATGTTTTGTTCTGTACAAGAGCCCTATGTCCTGATTTTAGCAAATCTTCAAAGTAATAAACGACTGAAGAAAGAAACGCTATGATTTTCCCATTGATTTTTTGTCTACATGCATCTCTCTAAACGTGAAATTTTCCATTCCTACAAAAAATCTCGAAAGTTTTTCACATTTTTCACCTTTCTTGATCAAGCATCTTGTATAAAGAGCTAAAAAATGTAGGCTTATTTTGTCAAGTGACTGCCTAGAGCAAGAATTGCGTGATAGGTGTGGTTGAGAGAAACTTGTCACAGTCGCAGATTTTAAAAGACATCCAAGACAATACGGTAGTGCCCAAAGATTTTTTTGATGATTTTCAGAGATGAAATGATGGGTTATAAAGGGTAATTAAGATTAGTGTTGTAGCTTTCTGGCAACGGGAGATATTTGACCTCAAAGTTGTCAAATATTTGGATGAATCGAAAAGTCTGGAAACACAGTCGCATATTTGCCTCTGTTGATTGACAAGCCGTAGATCAAACTGACTGATACTCGCGGCGCCTATTAACTGAGGATGTAAAAATATGTGTGCAAACCCTCAGAGTAATTGGTTAAATACCATCGCAGTGAGAGCTTCATACATTTTACCTATTTGAAGCGATTTCCTTGGTGAAAACCAATAAAAACCGGGGGGGTGGTTTTGTTTTGTTTTGTTTTGTCTTTTTTTTCTTCTGCTCTGTAATGATTTCAATGGTTTCAGGTTCTTTTCTCAGAATTGAGCTACAGTAATAGTATGCTTCTTTGTGTTGTTGCCTACAGGAGCCACTGCTTGTGTTGAATTGAAGAGATTTGAAGAAGCAATCAGTTGGTGTGATAAGGGACTAGCTGTATCCTTTGAAGAAATCTTTCATTTTTAACCGTGGGTATAATGGAAATAGTTTCCATAATTTGATGTTTCAAGGGAGAAAATACAAAGAAGGGTATTAATTATGATGAGAACTTGTCAGCTCACATACTTTAAGTGTGTGTTATTAAGAAACGTAGGAAAAGTTATTACCTCATGACTTATTAAAGATATTACTCCTTTTAGCCAATTTGACTTAGTTATACTATCCATGCCAATAACTGGTACATTAGTTTAGATAACCCTTTAATTCACAGACCAAGTTTGTAATTATCCTTACTGTTAACCGTACGATTTTTGTAATGTTAGTTCAAAGAATTCAGCATTGGATCAACTAATTATCCCCAAATTGATATTTTTTTTACTCTCAACACTCATCTGATTGATATTGTATTGCTATTGTAAGGAGAAATTCTCTCTTGGTCACTCATGGGAGTTAAAGGGTTAAAAGACTAATATTCATCCAGTTTATACATGGTACGTGGGTAGATGATCTCTCTAAAACAAGCCAGAACAAAAAGCTCGGTAATATTTAAATATCTTATGCAGATTTTCTTGCTTTCGACCTTTTTCCACTACTTAGAGACTTGGAAACTTTCGTCCTGCTTTCCTATGGACAATAAAAATTTTAAAGACACGTATTGGTGTTGTAGACTCATTTCTTCCACTGCTGTAAAACATTCGTCTGATGTTAAAGCTATATTAATTTAAAAATTGAGCAAGTGCTGCTCAGTTTTTGGAAACTAGGGATTAAATTTAGATATTTCGCGTTAAACTTTTAGGCTGCACAGTGAAAAAAGATTTTTTGAAATGTAAATTTAATTCATAACTGACTTTAAGACTGAATGTTGATAAAAAATCTATCTTTCATGCAAGCCCTCCTAATGGGCCATTTTATAGTTCTGTACTTAGTTGCCAAGCCTTTGATTTGGAGTAAAGCTGAAGATGACCTTGTTGTGATAGAGACCAGTATCTAGAAACGATAATAACAAAGTAGTTTGCTTTAAATAGCAGCAATGTTTTTATCATAACAAGGTCACCCTTAGCCACACTCCTGTTCAAAGGCTTGGGAACCAAGCACGCAAATGTTAAAATGCACTATCATAAATCATATGATCAGAAAAATAATATTTTTTTGTTTTTTCCACATTTTTAACCCTTAACAAAAAAAAGATTGAAAAAAACAATAGGATCTTGTTGTCATTAAGAATTCAGTCTGTCAGTGAAGTGGGAGATAAGTCCATGGAGGAAAAAGATCCTATTAGTCATGACCACGGTAGTGCAAGTTCAGGTGATGTCAAGAAAGTCATAGGTCTCTATAATCGGGGAGAAGAAGCCATAGAGTACCTCAACCTATATCTTAAAAAAGCTAAAGAAGTAGGAGACAAGCATGGGGAGGGTAACGCTTATGGCAATCTTGGCACTGCTTATTGCCATCTGGGTGATTTCAAAAAAGCCATAGAGTACCACAACCTACATCTTAAAATAGCTAAAGAAGTAGGAGACAAGCATGGGGAGGGTAACGCTTATGGCAATCTTGGCAATGCTTATCACCGTCTGGGTGATTTCAAAAAAGCCATAGAGTACCACAACCTACATCTTAAAATAGCTAAAGAAGTAGGAGACAAGCATGGGGAGGGTAACGCTTATGGCAATCTTGGCACTGCTTATTGCCATCTGGGTGATTTCAAAAAAGCCATAGAGTACCACAACCTACATCTTAAAATAGCTAAAGAAGTAGGAGACAAGCATGGGGAGGGTAACGCTTATGGCAATCTTGGCAATGCTTATGACAGTCTGGGTGATTTCAAAAAAGCCAAAGAGTACCACAACCTACATCTTAAAATAGCTAAAGACGTAGGAGACAAGCATGGGGAGGGTAGTGCTTATGGCAATCTTGGCAATGCTTATGACAGTCTGGGTGATTTCAAAAAAGCCATAGAGTACCACAACCTACATCTTAAAATAGCTAAAGAAGCAGGAGACAAGCATGGGGAGGGTAACGCTTATGGCAATCTTGGCAATGCTTATCACAGTCTGGGTGATTTCAAAAAAGCCATAGAGTACCACAACCTAGATCTTAAAATAGCTAAAGAAGTAGGAAAAAAGCATGGGGAGGGTGGTGCTTATGGCAATCTTGGCAATGCTTATATTAGTCTGGGTGATTTCAAAAAAGCCATAGAGTACCACAACCTACATCTTAAAATAGCTAAAGAAGTAGGAAACAAGCATGGGGAGGGTGGTGCTTATGGCAATCTTGGCAATGCTTATGACAGTCTGGGTGATTTCAAAAAAGCCATAGAGTACCACAACCTACATCTTAAAATAGCTAAAGAAGTAGGAAACAAGCATGGGGAGGGTGGTGCTTATGGCAATCTTGGCAATGCTTATCACAGTCTGGGTGATTTCAAAAAAGCCATAGAGTACCACAACCTAGATCTTAAAATAGCTAAAGAAGTAGGAAACAAGCATGGGGAGGGTGGTGCTTATGGCAATCTTGGCAATGCTTATCACAGTCTGGGTGATTTCAAAAAAGCCATAGAGTACCACAACCTACATCTTAAAATAGCTAAAGAAGTAGGAAACAAGCATGGGGAGGGTAACGCTTATGGCAATCTTGGCAATGCTTATAACCGTCTGGGTGATTTCAAAAAAGCCACAGAGTACCACAACCTACATCTTAAAATAGCAAAAGAAGTAGGAAACAAGCATGGGGAGGGTGGTGCTTATGGCAATCTTGGCAATGCTTATCACCGTCTGGGTGATTTCAAAAAAGCCATAGAGTACCACAACCTACATCTTAAAATAGCTAAAGAAGTAGGAGACAAGCATGGGGAGGGTAAAGCTTATGGTAATCTTGGCAATGCTTATGACAGTCTGGGTGATTTCAAAAAAGCCATAGAGTATCACAACCTAGATCTTAAAATAGCTAAAGAAGTAGGAGACAAGCATGGGGAGGGTAAAGCTTATGGCAATCTTGGCAATGCTTATCACCGTCTGGGTGATTTCAAAAAAGCCATAGAGTACCACAACCGACATCTTAAAATAGCTAAAGAAGTAGGAAACAAGCATGGGGAGGGTAACGCTTATGGCAATCTTGGCAATGCTTATCACAGTCTGGGTGATTTCAAAAAAGCCATAGAGTACCACAACCTACATCTTAAAATAGCTAAAGAAGTAGGAAACAAGCATGGGGAGGGTAACGCTTATGGCAATCTTGGCAATGCTTATGACAGTCTGGGTGATTTCAAAAAAGCCATAGAGTACCACAACCTAGATCTTAAAATAGCTAAAGAAGTAGGAAACAAGCATGGGGAGGGTGGTGCTTATGGCAATCTTGGCAATGCTTATCAGAGTCTGGGTGATTTCAAAAAAGCCATAGAGTACCACAACCTAGATCTTAAAATAGCTAAAGAAGTAGGAAACAAGCATGGGGAGGGTGGTGCTTATGGCAATCTTGGCAATGCTTATCACCGTCTGGGTGATTTCAAAAAAGCCATAGAACATTACCAAGCTAGCATAAACTTATTCAATTCCCTGAGAGTACTTCTAAAATCTAAAGACGAGTGGAAAGTTAACTTTCGAAATCAGTATCAAATGGCGTATACGGGTTTGTGGAGAGTTCTCGTAGAACAAGGTAATATAGATAAAGCCTTATTTGTTGCTGAGAAAGGACGAGCTCAAGCTCTGTCCGACCTCATGGAATTCAGTTTTTGTGGTGAAGCAAGTCAGCATAAGGCAGGTGATGAAGATTTAGCAGTCACTGCTAAGTCTACATCGATTTGGATGAAACGTTTTTCAAAAGTTTTAAAAAGCGTTCCATCAAACACCGTCTTTCAGGCAGTGGACAAAGCTGACGTCAATCTTTGGGTTGTGTCCGAAAGAAAACAAGTTCAGTTAAGACAAAGTAAACTCAAAGGTTTTGTTTCAGAGAATAGTGAATCTAGCCAGTCCTTTGAGTCGTTCATGCTCGGTGTCTATACACAACTTGGTGTTCGTTCTAATGTGAGATGCGAGAATCGATCTTTAGATGCTTTGAGGGAGGTCCGTTCAAAATTGGATGAGAAAACCATAGAAGCCAACCCTCAATCTCACATCCAACAAGACGGATGCTTGAGCACTTTGTATGATATCGTTATGAAGCCGGTGGCTGACTTGATTGAAGGGGATGAGCTACTCATTATTCCTGATGGACCCCTGTGGATCGCTCCTTACGCTGCATTGAAGGATGGTAATTCTAAATACCTGTGTGAATCGTTCACAATCCGAGTCGCTCCATCCTTAGCAAGTCTTAGACTCATTGCCGATTGCCCAGATGATTATCACAAAAGCAGTGGCGCGTTGCTTGTAGGAGATCCGTGGGTATCCGAGGTTACTAACAGCGAGGGAGAGAATGTCCTCGAGCAGCTTCATTATGCTAAAGAAGAAGTAGAAATGATCGGAAAAATTCTGAATATCACGCCAATCACTGGCAGACAGGCCACGAAACGTGAGGTGTTGAAAAGACTCAGTTCCGTTTCCTTAGTTCACTTTGCGGCACACGGATGTATGGAAACTGGCGAAATTGCTCTTACACCTGACCCAGACCGAATATCTACTGTGCCAACGGAGGAGGATTACATTTTAACAACTGGAGATGTGCTGAATGCTCAACTTCGGGCCAAACTTGTTGTGCTTAGTTGCTGCCACAGCGGCCAGGGCGAAATCAAGGCTGAAGGTGTGGTTGGCATTGCGCGCGCTTTTATGGGGGCTGGTGCTCGGTCTGTTGTGGTGTCCCTGTGGGCGATTGAAGACAAGGCTACTCTTGAGTTCATGAAATACTTTTATCAACAACTTGCAGGAGGTAAACGAGCAAGCGAGTCACTGAACCTGGCCATGAAAAGCCTCAGAGAATCAGACAAGTTCTGCGACATCAAACACTGGGCGCCCTTTTTGCTGATTGGAGATGACGTCACTCTTGACTTCATGGCAAAGGAAAGAGAAAATTTAAATATGAAATCACATAAATGAAAACTTTTTATTTCATCTCAAAATGAATGACGCAGGAACTTGGAAGGTTTACATGCTTCTCTATTTTGGAGTTTTTTGGCTATTTTTCATGACTTTTCACTTTTTTGTTAAATGGAACTTGAGATGTGTGACTTTACTTTGATGAAGAAATAAAACAGACTATTTCAGTATATTTTGTTCAATGGAATTGCTATTTTTTTACCTTTACAAATTTAGATACTTGCGAAGAGAACAAGATGCAACAAGGCTTTTGTTGTTAATGCCTGAAGTTGTTGAAGGCGACTACGAGGTTTTCGTTTCGCCAAAAGGACACTCAGATCTATTCGTTTATTGCAATCAGTTGTATGGGAAATAATTTGAAGGTTTTTTTCTTGTACACAACCAGGAGCTTGTCCACAGGGTTTTAATTACGTTGATACTCTAAGCTTTTGATAAGCAAAGAAACAGTTTGTCATTTGCAAAAGGTGGCGAAATTTTAATTTAAAAAATTTGATCTGCAAAATTCGCAGCCATATGTGAATTAATCTTAATGGTTTTTCTACGTCATTAATTACTTTGTTGCAATTTGCAATTATCTTTACAAAAAAATTGATTATCATTTTCAACTTTTTTTCAATTCATTTTAATGCAATCCAATTCCATTAGTGCCAAGATTGCCATTCTAAGCTTAATTTGAAGAAGTAATCATCAGAGATGATGTTGTTGATGTTGTTGAATTTACTGACCATATGTTAGAGACATTAGACCTACTCTCAGGGGTGTGGCCAGCCTCTAGTCCCGTGGGCCCGGCCAACAATTGTTTTCCGCCCACTTGACTTTTCTAATATGACTCTTACAAATGTTGAAACAAAAATTGAAATTTCCCAGGAAAAAGGCCTACAACAAGTCAAAGAGCTGACTACAACGGCCTGCTTTCAGTCAAACGAGTTTGATGAATTTTACTCCGTTTTATCAAACACTCATCTGTTTGTTTTAAAAAACCACGACAGACAAATTGTCCATGTAATCTAAACAAGGAAATAGCGAAGCAGAGTTTACTTTAACTGAAGTTTCCATAGCTGTGACTTTTAATGTATGTGACATAGAATTTGTTGTTTCTAGTAGGAATATATTTACGCTAATAAATTAGGGAAACAGTTGAAGTAAGCCATGTAGTCCTCGATGGGAATTATTCTGGTCAAAATGTTTATGAATAAATGTAAATGTAGTCCGCAGTAAAAAGGTTGACGGCTTCAGGATAAAACTTGCATTTTTTTGAAAATTTCCAGTTCAAATTTTTTTCATGGCTTTAAATTTACCTTAGTAATTTGAAGATGTTGGATGATATCCTTCTTATATTTAAGAATTTATACTTAGGTATTCCGAGCACGCTTTGTGATTAGAACCCGTTATGTGGTCAAAAGTTTAAGGTATAATGTATCACGGCTGTTTTAAAAGAAATTTTTGTAAAATCAATCTTAATTTTTGGCAGGTTTTCATAACTGCTTTTGGTATATGCTGGTATAAAATGTAATAGTTAACCTCGCACACGGTTGAATATGATGTAACGTAGGATTTTAACAACAAGCTGGGACAGTTTTAACTAAAAATGCTTTTTATAATGTCAGTGTATTTCGTGTGAATTGTTTTGATGCTATTTGTATTTAAAGTTGAAGCTATTTGTCCATTTACCTTAGTTTTTATTCATTAACTCATTAACTCCCAAGTTCTGAAGAAAAATTCTCCCAACTGATAAGAATGTGTTTCTTTGTCGCTTCATTCTGGGAATTCGATGAAACATAACGTTTCTAGTGAAAAATAATCCTCCAGTTTAGATTTTCACTAATTCTTATTGACACCATGTTTGTCGGTGCATTGATTTTGTGAGGAGAATTTAAGTTATGATCAGTCTTGGGAATAAATGAGTTCATTTTAGTGTCTCTGTTTAGCGCGTACTTTACTTAATGCCTTGAACAATTTAATGCAGTTTGTATTGTACTTTTTTTTATTTTTTTGTGTAAGAGAGATATACAGTGTCTAAAATACAAAAACTGCGTTGATTTTCATTGTCTGTCTCCATATTCTAGGGATTTACGTGAGATGTAGAGAGAACAGATCCTATGGGGACTTCAATGCTTATTTTGACCCGTCAAGTTAATAATCTTTGCAGCTGACAGTGTACTGACATTCCATGTTTCAAGCCCCCACCCACTTAACAAACGCTCGCCACCTCTTCGATTGTGTCTCTTTCACTGTCAACCGTTCTCCATATTGTCACACGATTTTGAATGCCGACGGACGTGTTCATACTGTTACCTGTGTGCGCCCTTTTTACCTTTATCCTCACACAATTTTTTACACCTTTTCACATTTGCGCATCTCTTTTTTCTCCTTCATTTGGTTCCTTCCCTTTTTTTCATCGTACTTTTCCTTTATTCCCATCTTTACGCGCACTTCTTTCATCGCCCTCAACTTTATTCTTCTACGCGCTTCATTAGACGCGACTATCTCCTTGTCTGTTTCAGTTTTCATTCGTCTCAATCCTCGCGCAACGTCAGGTCTCTTACAACTCATATACCTCCTTACTCCCCCAGAGTAGTTGTTATTATGCTTATTTTGTTCACTTTAGGATAGTGTCCTCTTAGCATCATTTCTGGTAAAATCTCAGTTTTCCTTTCGACTCATTTCCAGTCCACAGGGTCTCTCACTTTTAAGTCTCTCTTGCCAGTATTTGCTCTCCTCAGTCCTCTCATCACAGTAGCAGCTATAAAACGAAAGAGCTCCCTCCAAGTCTCTGCGATATAATCGATGCATTTTGTTGGAAACGAGTCCTTCAATGTCCAAATTAAGGCTTCTTTCTATCATCTGATTGAGAATGGGTCAAACTCTCGCCCAGGGTCCACCTACATCGCGAGTCCAAGATGGCAGCAAGCCAATCCACAGACTTCTCCGAGTCGGTAGCCGCCATCTTGGATGTAGACGCAAAGAGGACCTTGAAAAAGAGTTTTGACTAAACAATAATTAAGAAAGGTTAAGTTATTGCAATGCTTCCTAAGAGGTAGTCGATAACAGCCCGAGAGATTCATTATGAGCAAACACGTTCCGTCGATCATTGGACTCCATGTCTCCTTACGTCCAAGGACAATGTCCAAGGACAATGTCCAAGGACAATGTCCAAGGACAATGTCCAAGGACAATGTCCAAGGACAACGTCCAAGGACAAATATCCGAACATATTTTCGGGCAAAATAGAGGCTATTGTGATTTTTATCCTTCAATTATTTTGCAACGCTCATGAAAAAATCTTTATGAACAGCTCACTGAGTTGAATTAAATTTGAAACGAAGACTTATCGGGGTGGACGTAAGGTTTGCAAATTGGGGAATATCGCTTGCGTGATATTTTCGGGTATCACCTGGTATTAGCTGGGGATATTTAGTCACTTGCTGCGTTTACACCAATTGCGCGCAAGCAAAAATATTTGATGGATCATAAAAAGCAACATGTACCCCTAGACAGCACTATATTTCCCTCTTCCGCAATTTACATCACAATACAGCGCTATAAAACAACATGTACCCCTAAATAGTACTATCCTCTCTTCTGCAGTTTACATCACTATACAGCGCTATACAACAATATGTACCCCTAGATACCACCATACTTCCCTCTTCTGCGCTATACATCACGATACAGCGCTATACAACAATATCTACCCCTAGATAGCATTATACTTCTCGCTACTGCAGTTTACATCACTATACAGCTCTATACAACAATATTTACCCCTAAGTAACCTTGATCGGCATAACAGAATAGATACATCGAAATTTTCCAGCCTCTCGGGCCATGCTTTCTGTCTTTCTCCAAGGTTCATTAAATACTCAATGAAAACCTTTGCGTCGTTTAAAGAAAACACAGCATTTTCCAGCGCAGTCATGACTCGTTTGACGTGAAGACACAGAGATGGCGAGTTGATTGAGGCTTTAAGTTTCAAACTCTTAAAGGCGGGAAATATTTCTGAAACAAAATCATTCACGATCATCACTATTAATTCTAAATAATGGAAATTCGATTCACGTTTACTTTAGATAATAAATTTTACTCCCATTTTGCCAATCATACAAAGAAATCAATACACTGAGCAATACCTTCAACAAGACGAAGCTACACAGTTGTAAATCTCCATCCTCATCCTCAGTAGAACTATGCCATCACAAAGGTGGAATAATCGCGAAAGAATAACCGCACTTAAGACCTCCCTATATACCAAGGAATTCGTGCCACTGGATTTGACATGTGCCAGTAACCTACTTTCACATTTAACGTGACATTAAGCTAAGATCAGCAAACTGTTTCTTTTTTTCTTCATTTTAAACGACTCCAATCCTAATAGTGGTATCAAATTTGCATAAGAAAGCTAATGTCAACCTGAGACTCTGCATTACTTTTTTTTGATGAAATGAAACACAACAAACCAGAGATACCACGTGCTTAAAACACTAACTGTTTAAACATTTTCTTCCACATGACGCTCTTAACGGGCTCAACGAGCTGCCAAAATTCTCTTCAAATCCGTTTTCGTTCGTGTGATAGCTTGACTTCTATTTCGATTTAACAGTTCAGTTCGACAGTTTGACTGTTAAACCTTAAATGAAGATTTGTAGACACCAGCTAAATAGATTTATGAATTTGCTTAACGGCGAATGAACGCATTGAAATCAAAATTGATTTTCTTTAAGCTCAGTTCACTGAACTACAAGTCTGCTGTCAGATAATTAACGTGGACGCTATTTTAGTCCCTTAAATTTCTCATTTCTCAATGCGTCAGCAACTGAAATTATAAACAGGGACGCATTTTGTGACACAAATTTTGGCAATGACTGGTGTAAGCCGCAAAGGTACAACGGACAACTACTGGTTATCCTAATTTTTCGGTCATTGCTAACGTAGTACTTGTGGTCATAAGCATCATCCTAAGCAGACCCTTGCAAAAGTTTCACCAAAACTGCAGAGATCTGAAGACTTTCGCTTAAACACACAACATTGGAGTAATATCAAGGTAAGAAAAAAAAAATTTTTTTTGATTTTAATGAAGCCTTTTGAATTTTCTGAAACACACTTGCCAGTGCAATGACAGTTGAATGTTCCTAATAAAGACGCCTTCCGATTTCTTCTTATCTTCCACATTGCTCTGATCTTCGAAAGATCAACAGACTGAATACCTTCTCTGAACATGCTCGCCCTCTCATTCTTAGTCAAGAAGAGGTCCTCACAGAGCTTGAATAGATCATAACCATCAGTGTCTTGCGCGACTTCTCCTGCGAATTTCACAGTCAACCTGTCAACATGAGCTCTTACGACATTTTTCACGATATAATCGTTTTCGTGACCACTAACTGCCAAGTCAAAGATGAGTGAAAGAGATCCTGGCACAAGAACAACTCCGTCACCAAGCTTTGGAACTGGGACCCTAAGGACTTCACTTGGAGATGCCCTATTAGGGTGAAATGTTACTCTGTCAATTGCGCGGTCCGCCTTGAGAGCGTTTGACGACTTTTTTTCAAAATTTGGATTGCTTTTTTTTTTACCGACTTCCATTTTGAAAATAATAGATATTTTATTTAAAATGGCTGATTTTGGAGATATTGATCGTCTTTTGGAACACTGTGACGGTGATGATGATGATGATGATGATGATGATGAAGATGAAGGAAATACATCAACACCTTTTCAACCAGATTATGATTCAACTCAAATTAAGCAAGAAACAATAAAGTTCCACAAATAAACGTGTGAAAAATAATGGCAATTGTGGGTTTAAAAGAGTTACGTAAAATAAATACCTGCTTTAGAATTTTTTTTTGAACGAGTGCGTGACTGGATATTGGCTGAGAGCGAGATCGCGTGAGAACTCGTAATAAGGGAGGTGCTTCGTGACAAAAGTCACGCACTTCCGGTTTCAAGCTTGCACAGAGTTATGGGCCAGGGGACTCCCCCTTTAGTTTTCACAATGCACAATTGAGATTCTTCGTTTTATAACAACGCTTTCGACTCTCTTGGTACTTTCTCAGTCTTAGTGATTTTTTTTAAAACGCTTCCATGACGGATTGAGGATGCAAGGTTGTAAAGCACTCAAACGTGCCTTCCATTTCCGCGACAGAGGTAAGAACGCATGGTTGCATCAGATTTTTAAATATATGGTAAATACTTTTATTTCGAGTTTCTCAGTCAACATTTTCTCCTTCAAATGCTCTTAATATGTCCTAATTTTTTCTGATTTACAGCAATCAAAAACGTTCCTGCAGTTAACTAACGAGGATTGCTAATTTTTACTTGATTCTGGGTTGTATTAATTGTATTGCCGCTTCGTGTTCTAGGCTAATTAATCTAAGCTTGTTTGAACAAGTTACAGCTGTCGAATTCACAAAAATGCGCAAGCAATACCTGGCATTTACCTTGGACAAAATAAGTAATTCGGGAGAATTAAAAGGAATATTTAAGTCATGGATTTGATTTTGTGCAATCGTGTTTTGCACTAGGTTTGGTGTCAGGCTTACATAAGTATTAATTTAATGTGCTCCCGTATTTACGATGCATTTGATCAAAAACCTATAACCGTTTCCAGCGTATTTCACGTGTTCATGTTTATTATTTTATATAGTTTAAAAGTAATTTTTTTCCTTTTTGATAAACTACTTAGATTCTCCCTTTTAACTGTACTGTAACAGTTATACTGATTTCCATGTTAAATATTGAGACACGATGACTTTTCTTCAAATGTCACCTAGTGATTTATTGGAAGCGTCCTTTCAACTAACTGCCTTTGATTTTTAGGATTCCAATTCATCAACTGGTAATGATAGATTGGTATCTGAGTAAAGTTTACCTTTAAATGGGTAGCAGAAATTAGCCAGGTAAGCCTGATGAAATGCCAGGGGGAAAGAGGATGGACTGGCATCCCGTCCAAGGGGTGTAGTTACTCCCACTCACTTCATGTGAGGAAACCAGTATTATAAGCTCAGGGCCTAGATGGGCCACTGCTCAAATACAGACTTTACCCGACTACCTACAGCCTCTTAAATAATTTGAATTGCTGTTGTAACAAATTATATGAACTTGCAACACTTGCCCAATTTATTTCAGTCAATGGAAAATGTATTTTATAAATATTGAATCATATTTTAGTACTTATCTTTGTTCTTTTGCTGCTTTTATAGTATGACATTAATTGCTTGTGATTTTGTGTCTATGTATCCCTCCATTCTCAGAAGGGAAAAAATATTTATTTTACAACTGGGTAATATGTTGAGCTGATGTTTATTACCATTTGCAACCAACTTTCTTTCAGGCCAGGATAACTTGAAAGCAGCACCTTTGTAAGAAGCATCAGTCTTCTTACAATTGCTATGGCTACAGAAAGAAGTCCAATTAAAGTTCCATGCAAAAATGAAGACTTATTAACTGAAAAAAAAATGCACCAGATTTTGATGAGGACACTTTGCAAGGTGAGCTGTGTTGAGCTTCAGCTTCAGTTATTGTTAGAACTTTTTCTATACCACCATTTTCAAGAATGTAAGCAGATGTGGAGAAAGATATAATTATACACTGTATTAATACTTTAAAAGATATTTGGCCAGTTATGACTCTCTTCTATGATTATAATATGCTGTTCATTTAGAGGATCTATGACACAGAAACCTTTGTTATTTTCTTTTCTAAAAGTTCAAAGTAAGTACACTGTACACAAAGTTATAATAAGTAAATACTTTATTTGATCATGGCACAGCATCCATTTTGTAAGTTTGCATCATAGTTACCATCATCATCATTATCATCATCGTCATCATCATCTTCCCATTATAATTCAACAATCAATTGAAAGCTTCAACCCCCCCCCCCCCCTTCCTTTTCCCCTGGGCAACCCACAAGCATTAGCATTTGATCATCCAAGCCAAACAAGGGGGGGGGGGGGAAATTGAACCTTGCCTGACTACATTGGGGAATTTGAATCAGAAGTGTCAAGACTTTATAACTGAATACAAGTGTTATATTGATCTCTAACTGTGGAGGTGTTTAAGGTAAACAATGCACTTTTACTAACAAATGGCTAAGAAGGAAAAAGTCTACAAGGTTTAGGTTTTATGCTTAATCATCATCATCATCATCATCATAATCATCACCATTGTTACCCACATTATAAGCATTATCATAACTATCATCTTTTTTATCATTTTTCTTATCATTTAGGTAATAACATACTGTTTGTCTATATTAAGTAATATTGCTTCTGGTTGTTTAATACTTGCAACATTTGGATCTTATTGACTCATTAACCATCTAAATGTATTGAAAGCAGATGACTCTTCTACACCTATAATTATGCCAACTCTCCCTGATTATCAGGGAGTCTCACAGTCACTGAAGCAGACTCTGAGGGTCTCCCACATGGGTCATCAAACTTCCAAGATAAAAGAGGATTTGGTTCAGCTCCACACAGAAACATCACATTTGAACTCCAGATTTCCTACATCTAATGTTATCTGCCCTTTTATTAATATTAGGGTTCTTATCTTAATTTTCTTGACTGCACTTAGACTGTTTCAAAGTAGGGATTACACTTTCTTCTAAACAACAACCACAACAGTAACTGAGTCTGATTGGTTGAGCTTTCAACCAAAAAAATCTCTCATGAATTTAATGAGGGGTCTTTCCTGTGAAGGGGGGGGGGGACTGCACACATTATCTAAGCTTTTCAGGGAATAGGTTAAGTCAGGCAGATGCAAAAGTGGCATCTGGCGCTAAAGGAAAAATCTACAGATTTTGAATCTCCAGATCTTGGCAGTTCTGCTTATATTCACTAGTAATTATTAACTACAACCACAGACTTTTTTAAAATTTTTTCTTTGCAGCCGCAGCTGATGTTTATAAGGAAATGAGGCCTTCAAGAAAGGATATTTCATCAATGCTATTCATTTTTACACCAAAGGAATTAAAATGAACTGCACTGAGAAAGAACTGAAGGCCAAACTGTACAACAACAGGGCTATTTCACATTTTAAACTTGGTAAGATGATAAGAGCTTTAATATGCATTTTTTTCCCTTTTGAAGCTATTGGGCTGTTAATAGTAGTTTTCTGAAAAAGGTGATAATTTTGAATGTAGACCTTGTCTTGGCCTCTTAAACATACAAAGAAGTAACCTCTTACCCCAGATGTCAATGAGCATCACAAGTTTTCCCTAAAATTGTTGTAATGGTGGTTGGTTAAAATGCTACGTGTATGGCTGATCAGAGATATTTATTTCAATAACAGGAAATCACCAGTATATTCACTAGGGGATGCAGAAGCAGCCATTGAGTTAACTCCAACTTTCCTTGAGGCAATTATGAGAGGTTAGATATGATAGCTGTGCTATAATAATAATAATAATAATAATAATAATAATAATAATAATAATAATAATAATAATAATAATAATAATAATAAAAGAACTCAACACTCTAAGGTCAAATGAATTTCAATAGTCTCAATTGACTTTAATTAAGAAGTTGAGTCCAACTTGATGTACATTTGAATCCAGCTCTTAACTGCTACACCATTACTTTCCATTAATTATGATGAGAATATTATTTTGAGCTGGATGAATTAAGAGCTCAAAGCGGAATGCAAAGCAAAATTTCAGCATGAGTATTTTAGTTCCCTAAGCTCGATGAGCAAGGTCAAGTGGTGTCAGATATGTTTAGTCACTATCTAGCTGTTTTAAAAAAGAAGTAAGGATCAGGATTTACCTTCACTCAAACCTGTACTTCCCTCATTCGTCATGTATATCAGGAAGCCACTGGGCTTATGGAGTTGAGCCACCTTACTTACAACAGTATTTAAAAAATAATAAGTGCTGTGAATGTGCAGCTTTGCTAATACAGTGTTTATTATGAAACAGCTCTGTGATCACTGCGCAAGGATCAACGGTGGTAAATCTTGTCTTTATCTTGGAGACAAACAAAATAAAACACATTGGATATTGGAGGCTATAATGACGCAGAAAAGCCTTATTTTGCAGATCTTCTTCTTAAACTTCGTCCACCATTTTGGATTTCCCTGGTGCACATTAGATTTGAAAACACTGCTGGTTTTATTTGACAGCGACTGCAGAAGGTGTTTCACGTGTTCTTGTGTGTACATACAGGGAATAACACAGGGAAATACTTGGGGTCAGTGGGAACTAATTCCACCAATAGTTTTATACCAGAAGCATGGTTCATGGTTGCCACAAGTTCTGGGAAAAGTCAGGGATATAAAGATTTCCTCAATGTCAGAGAATATACATCTTTGAAAGAAGTCTGGCAAAATTTGAAGTAATTATCTTGCATTTTAATTGGACCCTTTATGATTATGTTATGTTTACAAAAATTGAGAGATAGTATATGCCCTACTTCCCATGAAAGTTCTTATCCGTAACTCTGGCTGTAAGCATGTTTAACAGTCTGCTTTGGTGATAATCACCTCTTTTTTTACAAATAATAAGTAAATATATATATTTCAGTTTACAAAAATGAAAAAAAAATATGCCCAGCTTGTTATAATGATTAGCTATGTAACAGTCTGCATGATTCACAGTCATTGGTTGCTGTCATATTCATTACTAAATAAAATGATGAATACAGAGAGAGCTGTTGTTATGCTTCTCTTCTTGAGGAGATCCTCAAGGATCTCTGCAAAAAAAAGCATGCAATGTTCTTTGCAGCCAGTTTTTGATGTAACACTAGGAGACGCAATTGATCTTGATGGCAGTAACATTATGCACTCCTCCATGTTAAAAGGACTAAAACTTAGTCATGACTTATTCTCTTGAAGATACTATTGAATTAGAAAATCCTTAAAAAAGCCCCTACAATTTGAAAATCCTCAAAGATCCCCTACCATGCATCTTCAGTGCTCTTGCTTTCAGTGCTTCCTAATGATCACAACAGAGACATTAAGCTGGAAGAAATTGGGTAAAACTGACATGATCTTGTTACAGTAGGCCAAACAAGGACACTGAGAAACCTCTAATCTCTAGAGTACTTCATATGTCAATCACTGTGCAACAGCTTGACAACTGATCTGCCATGGGCGGCATGCAACATTGGTATGCAGAATGAAAAGACCATAAGAAAGCCCCCCATCCCTGACATGGTGTATTGAAGCATAGAAAAATCTGACAGAACTTGAATCTCTGTTTACAAAATATAAACAAAAAAAAGACAATATGAAACAATTTCCCCTCTAACCCCAACATGGTATCTGTAGAAACTAGCATGCTTTAGGTATTCCAGACACAATTCTATGTATAATACAGAATTGTGTCCAGAATACCTAAAACAAAACAAAAAGGAAATCAACTGAAAAACACTCATAATTTAACACATTAAATGCTAATAATATAACAATAAGCTTTTCAAGGAGTTTTGAATCTAAAATTGTTTTCACTTCTTCTTCACTTTAACTTTCAATTACACTTGTCATAATTTGTACCCACTAATTAAATGTCATAGAATGTAATGCAATCCAGTACATCACAACATCAAAGTTATTACCTTCATTGCTAATTGCCATTCCAATATTTGAAAATGCTAAACAAATGCATTCATATTCTTTTCTAGCATATACTTCATACAGCTTTTAATGAAGTACTTACTGTGGAACAAAACAAGTTCACCAACATCATTTACCGTGGAAATCTTTCACTTCACATTGTTCCTAGAAAAAGATGAACACTGTCAGCAAATGACATGCATTATGGTAAAACTTAATAACTTCCCATTTTTGACAGATGTTTTTCAATGAAAATTTCTTTTTAATTGATCTTGCTGTTACTTGAAAACACAAACTTCAATTGTCTAATACCAAAAATATTTTTCCCATTCATAAAATCTTAGCATACACTCTATGGAAATTTGAGCCTGTCAGCCATTCACATGCATAACATGAATTTATTACAACGTGTTCAATCTCATTTAACCCTTCTATAGGCAGTTCACAGTCATGCTTTATCTTTCAGTTCTAATAGACTCCTTCTTTTGCTCTTACAAAGGACTACAACACTTGAAACATCAGCTTTAGAAATTCTTTACAGAGAACTATTTACATTATCAACTCAGTTAATGAAGCCAGATAATCTCTTTCTAACAGTCTCTGCTTTTTTTCTGATTGCATTTTTTAATGTCAATGGCTTTAGTTTTATAAACTCAAACCAAGTGCGGTAAAATCACTTTTATTAAATTCACTTGGTTTTAATTTCACAAGAATATAAAAAATCAATCAGTAACATATTTTTCAGCTATAAAATAAAGTATTTGTATCTTATACTCACAGGATGAATGGTTTGGCAAGCTTGAAAACAGCTTTGAGGGTGAATTTGGCCTATAAATGATGCAAAAGTTCAATCCTTCAAAGAACCTGCAGAAAAAAAAACAATGAATGAGAAATTACAGTTTAATTTATATCATTTATTCACTAAAATCTGTCAGATACAACCATATTCTGTACTCTATCAGCAAAATAATTGTAATACATCCACTGATGTGCAACGTTATCAGCATCATAAGATGCTTTTTACCAGTACCAGTATAATTCACCAAATTTATCATCTGACTTCTGACTTTGTTGATTAATGGTTGCTATTGAAGTAGGTATATGTTTCCAACAGTACAAACTTCTCTTACCTATTCTTTAATAGTTTGTAGAATTTTTTTACCAATTGAATCAAACAAAGGTTTGCACCATCATCCTCTCCATGGATAACAACTGTGAATTTGTCAGTGACAAGAGTTTTCTTGATGTACTCTTCTACATTTCTGAATTCAGAGATCAAACAAAGATGATTAACCTACATTATACATGTAGTTATAATGAATAAAGCTTTGCACCATCTTCCTTTACATGAATAACAACTGTGAAGTTGTCTGTGACAAGATTTTTCTTGATGTACTGAGTACATCAGGAAAAATCTTGTCACTGACTTCTACATTTCTGAATTCAGAGATCAAACAAAGATGATTAACCCACATGTAGTTAATGATTGGTAATACAAGATGTAGAATCTTGGATTACAGGAAACAAAAAATTTACCTCAATTTCAATGCATTTTGCACAACAAGGAATAACTGAATTGTATATAACCATCATGTGAGTATCTACACTGCACTTTCGACTGGATCCCAAATATCCTGAGCAGAGTGTGCATCTAATTACCACCTTAAAAAAATTTTCTTTTGGATAACATAGTCATTAACATAGTTTAGTCATTAACATAGAATTAAAGAAATACTCTCACTTGGGAGCAGAGATTGTCAGTAAGCATCTTTGATTTTGACCTTCGGAACAGTTTTGATACCAAAGGTACCTTCCCATGCAGCGTTCAAAAGGAAAACATCATTGCCTGATTCATCACAGTGATCTGAATAAAGAAATATTTAAAACTCCTTTCAGAAAAGATTATCATACCACTTTTAAGACTTATTTTCTTAAACTACATGCACCAAACACTCAAGCCCTTGGGATTTCAATCACTCACCACTTTTTGTGAAGAAAGAGCTGACATCATATTCATCACAAGTAAGATGAGATTGCTCCAAAGCAATGCGATGTACTTCAACCTGTGAGTCTGCATGGTTTGAAAAATTTTGGTTAAATAGTGACATTTCCTTTTAATTCAATTGTAGTTAATTAATCAGAGGAAATCCTTAAATTAATTATACATTAATTATCTCAATTAACCCAGACAATCACACAACTTTTCACACACCTTGCAGTTGAAATCTCATGCAATACAAAATGGTTAACATAAAAAAAACCTTTCACCTTTAGGTATTTTATCTATCATTCATAGGAAAATACTCATCAGATACAAGAGCTTACTGTCAGTAAAACCCTGAGCATGATACAATGTTATTGCGGCCTTAAATTTTTCACCACAAAGATACTTACATTACAATTTACCTTTCTCAATGTCCCCTGTTGTTGGCCTAACCGCTGAAGACTTTCGTGGCCATTTGAACAATCAGGATTTCTAATCAAGAATAACATCATTCAATCATTAATCAATGATCAGCCCATGTTGATTGAACTTATTAACCACTGTCTTGATTTTTAAACAGGTTAACTGTCTACATTATTTATTCTATAGTAAACATTTTCCTTCTCATAGGGTGACTGTTAATGAGCCCACTGATAATTTAGGTTATCCCAAGGAAAATCAACAGCCACCATTTGCCAAAGGACACTCTTACATCATCATTTGGCAAATGAAGGTGAAAATAAAATCAATAAAATTTAATTAATGAATATATCAACATTAAATAAATCAAAGGTTCTTTTATACCAAATACCAGGCTCAGGTGATCAACAGGGGGGTCAGAGCTTTCCTGAACAGGCACTATGAAGAGGTCAAATGGTTAACAATTTGAATGTTTATTTTTATGTTTAGTAGATATGTAAACATTCACAGAAAATTCCTTGATTACTCCCCATGATAAAACATCAACTATATTTCACTCATGGCGAGGTTTATACTGAGTCTACAAATGCATAATAATTGCAAATGACTCCTTCTTCAGCTTAACCCTATTTAACATGTTACTTCTTCCTGTAATATTCACACATTATCCAGCAAACAGGTAGTGAGAATTCTCAAACTTATCTGGTAGAACTTTTTACCTTGATCTAATCAAATACTCATAACTAATTTACAAGGAAATGTGTAGCAGCTAGTGGGGAGAATTAACATTCAGATATTTAAGTTAAAGGGTTAAAACACTGGCAAATTTTACAAAAGTTAACTATCCTAAGTAATAACAGATTGAGAGAATGTTCCAACTGGAATATACAAAAGGTTAACCGCAGCCCTTGGCTGAACTACTTGCAATAGAACATACTCATTTAAAACAGCAGTAATTACCTTCTTGACTGGGGGCATCGATTGCTGGGGAGGCCTCATATTTCTGAGCTGGAATTGGAGTTCCTCCTCCAGGCTCAAAGACTGCAGTAAGACAAAAAGTTAACTATCCTAAGTAAGTACAGATTGGGATAATAGTCCACCTGGGTTACAAAAGGCTAACGGCAGCCATGACTGAACTTATTGCACTAGAGCATACTCATGAAACAGCAGTAATTACCTTCTTGACTGGGGGCATGGACTGGAGTTCCTCCCTCAGGCTCACAGACTGCAGTAAGACTAACTCACTTGGTGTCACTTCAATATAGGATGATGTCAAGTTTCCACACACATTTCAAGATGATGCACTACTATTACCAAAATCTCTCTCTGACTGTTTAGTGCTACTTGATACCCTTACAACAACATCCCCCAAGCTTGATGCAGCTGCTTCTATTATTCTCTCAATGTAAAGGTCAAGCTGCTGTTCCTTGATTTTCATTGGCTCCCTAGAACTGGGAGTAGCATTCTGTAAGTAATAAATCATTATAATTATTTCTTAGCTGAAAAACTGTGAAAGAGAAAAGTATTAATAAACTTCCTAGTTGCTGTTATAATATTAATGACAATGATTAATTAAAAAAAGGCATTTGCATGTTATGATTGATTCTTTTGATACAAATTGTTCCTGAAGCACAGCATGCACTACACTTATTTGAAACCCCATTTGAAGCCAGCTAGTGCAAACATTAAATTCTATATTTTAACTCAAGAACCTGGTACTTAATAGGCTCCTAGCTTTAAGGCAGCTAATGCGTCAAGTTTAAAATGAAAAAAAATAAAATGTTTTTTACATATTAAAAAGGAGAAAAGTCACTTTAGAAAAGTAAAGTAGAAACTATTACCCTGGTCTTGATTCCTTTAGAGGTTCAAGTAGTTCATGTATGATATACACACTAAATCTTAATTCTTTAGAGTTCTGTCACAATATACAGACTGGTAAACCAAAAGCTGGTAAATCCTTGTAGGTTTATGCATAGTGGACTCAAAGAGATTTGATAAACAGGGTTTGAAAATAAGGAGAACCTTGTGCACTTTAGACAAAGTTAGTTTCCAATTGGGAAATGTTGAAAATAAGCTAAAACGTGCGCCATTGCAATGTGTAAAATAATCCAACTGCGCTCTTTCTTGAAAAGGTAGATTATCGCATTTCTACGATAAAGAGACCCTCACCACATAAATTGAGTGTCCAGCAATGCGACAAAGAAACGGCCGCCATACTAAAGTGAACGTTTGAAGAAAATGAACGAGCAGCTGAAGATTTCTTTCCTCTCTATCGATCACTTAGAGTTCTCCTTCACGTTTTTGGACAGAGATACTCTGTCCAATACTCTCTAATACTCTCCTTTCATAACGTCTGCCAGACGATCGATTGGGATTCGTTAGAATAGTTCGCCATGTTTTAGCCTTAAATTTACTCCCTGCCCCTCCCCTGTAAAGACAGTGTTTTGACTCGTAACCAGGATCCACGCTGTGCCCTGACACTTTTCTTGAGAAGATTCCTTTTAAGCCAAGGGTGGCGATCATCCCCAAAAATTGAAAAAGTTATTTCAAACAAAAAGAATAACGAATGAGATTAGCAATTCAGTATAAACGGAACCTCGCTAGTAAATAAGTCTCCAGCCTGTAAGCGCGCGCAAAAATACCGCACTATTGCACGAATAGGAAAAAGCCTTCTTGTTTAGATATTCCATCTTGCAATGTTTTCCATAGTGCTATGTTGTCTTGAAAATATTTCGTTTTGTGCCTATCCCTTGTCCGCACACCTACCTAGTATCCTTTCCACCTGCTACAGTCTGAGATTCTTGATAACTTTGCTCCTGAATGAAGCGCGCAAAATTTTATTCTCATTTCACGCGTGAAAAGATCCACTTGCCGCAACAAAATCTTTCCGAATTCTCATTGTTCTTCATTCTGCGCATCTTGATTTGGCAGACTTTTTATGTTTATTAGTTAGCGGTAGCTGTCAATAATTAAGAATAGGATTTCCTTGCGCTTGCTTTGGTACCCGCCCTTTGGAGTTTTTTTTTTGTTCCCAGCTCCGTTTTTTTTTTTTTCCATGCTCCGCGTTCATTTCAAACGTGTTACTTTTCACTTGAGTTTTGGGGATATGAGTCCAATCGAAAAACAGTAGTGAAAACACTTGCGTGATGCATAGAATTTGTTCAAGGAGAAGCTAAGTGATCGCAAAAGTAACATTACAAACACCGCGCAAAATGTTGATTTTATCTATTATATATTATTATATATTATTTCCGCTTTAATATTACTTTTAACTAACCCTTTCCCATTATTCAGTTATTTATTTTTGGCGTCAAATTTCCTTGCGTTTACATCTGGTCCTTCATTCCCTACGCTTAGTCTCTTGGCTTCCTCTTCCAACACATATGAATTCTCCTTTTTCTTCTAATATAAAGACAACTCAACTTTATGTATGCAGGAGCCCAAAGGCCTGGCACACGACAAATTCCGAATATGCCCGACGAAATATAGCTAGGATCTTATTTTAACCTCCCTAAGTACAAAAAAATTAACAACGAATAGTACTCACGTTTACAGGATTCATCTCTTTGATTGCTTCCATCACTTTCTTTAATTTTCCTCCGAATGACTTATGAAGCGCCTAACTCCAACCAACGGAAAGTTATAATGACGGGTTGTAATTTTCGCGCGTCGTGATGACGAAACAGACGAGATAATAAACCAATCAACAGATTAGCAAGTATACGTAACTTTTACCTCGTTTTCAGGCGCCTTTGCTCTGGTTCAGGAAAGGGCGGGAAACTGCCCGAGTGCGCAAACTGCTGGGGAGAAGGTTATTGACAGATTTTAATAAATGTTCGCCCATTGACTACCTCAAAGCGATTGCAAAAGCAACAGACAAGTCCAAGAAACGAGACTGAGAAAGATCGGGAGCTTATCAGGAAAAACAAAGGGGTGCGTCGTTCCGCAGGTAAACCAGTGCAGGGCTGTCGGTTTCTTTGACACCACCACGATGCGCTGACCACTGACCGCGAGAATTTAACACAGACTTCTCGCAAATAAAGGGTTCTGGATAGAAGAATGAGAAAGATCGGGAGCTTTCCAGGAAATAATGAAAAGAGCACGTCCTCCCGCAAGAAAACCAAGTCTGCAAGCAAGCTGTTTTGTCGTTGATGCTTAGTTTGCTTGCGAACATATGAAAATGAGAGAAACATATGAGTGCTAAGTTCTGCTTCGTACGTAGCATGAAACCACTTGGCTATAAATTAACAAACATTCCTCGCCAAAAGTAAGCTTCGCTCATCGACCTGTAAATGATACAAAAGAGATGATATTAAACCTTTGACCACAAGCAGTGACCATTAAGTAATTTTTGGCCACAAGTTCATTACACAGTTTGTCGGACAGGCAATGAAAAGACAAAAAGTGACTAAACTGGATTGAAGCTTTTATATCACAACACTGATTGTCGATATCAAAAAACATGGAAATATATATAGAGCACCAGATCCATTTCCAGATGCAAAGGGGTGAGTACGTAGCTTCAAAAAACTGGAATGGTTTCTAAAAAGTATTTCACTTTGAATATCATGGTTCATTTTACCTAATCCGTAAAACATTCAACGAGGTGGCTCTTCTTGTCCACTGACACAAATTGTCAATAAACAATGCAGGTAAACGTAGAGTTTAAATATCTCAATTGGCCGGAGGCAAACCAATCGGCTATAGACAAAGTGCAGCCAAGGAGTTGAGCTCGAGCAATCGAGAACAAATCCAATAAATTGCAGAGCAAAGGACTCTAACCTGGAACCTAGCCCTTTAATCACTCGGTCACACAAGATAAACGCTGTTATTTCTGTGAGTCGTGACGTTTGTTTTCCTAAACCAATTCACACGCAACACACGCCCAGGCTTCAGGAGTTTTGTGTTTCATTTCATGTCATTTTTCACCTCAAGCGAACACCAGATATTTTGTCTTGTACTGTTTTGTTTTTCTTCCCACCTACCCTCCCACCCTCGGTGATTTTACGTGATGTCATAGGGTGGCAGAGAGGTTTACACATCATTGGCTGTTGTTTACTTTTCGTTCGTATTCTTAGTAAACTTCTCTCTGTGCCGAAAAGCGATTTTTGTTTTATTTGTGTCAGGGAGCGTAGTTAGGGATTAAGTTTCTTTTGGGAAAGGCTTTTCAACGACGATAGGAACATCCTTTGCAACCGCATTACTTTGGAAGGAAAGAAAAATCACAGGGTGCCCACTCTCGTCCTAGGAGCTACTCGTTTTCTCTCATTTCGCACATGAGGAATGCTTGTGGATTGTGTTACTAAGACTTACCTCATAAGTTAAGCGTTTAGAGTAACAATGAAACATGTAAAAATACTGAGAAAAAATGTCAAAATAATAAAAGTAATTACATAAAGTATAGCTAATTAAATCGTATAAAAGTGAGAGAATAATGTTATGTGAAGCGCTCGAGAAGTATCTCATGCAGTAATATTAAGGTATGTGTATACGAGGTATATTGAGTTTTTGGGAGATTTCTACTCCAAGCGCAGTCTATTAAGAATATTTTGGTTGCTTTTGGCCTTGCACCAGCGGCAGGCATTATAATTAACAACGTATGAATAAATGGGCTTAGTTTCTAAGGAAACTGTGGTGCTGCGTCGGTGAGGGGTACAACAAGATAATTTGGTTTTATAATCAAACTGCACAAGGTAGAGTTCAAATAACGCGAATATATGTATATACCACATGTGTACAGTTAGTTATTTTGTAATGTTAAAAAACCTATTTAACTGGTCGGCAGCACACGCTGCGCTTCTCTATCCACTTTGCTTTTCCCGCCTTATTAGAAATGAGCGGAAAGACTTGACAGAAAAAAAAGCAGTTGGATCATAAATAACTTATTGGTGTGTAGCATTGCTTAGTATTTTCACTCCTTGTTTGTATATTGACGAGCCAGTGGGGCAAGGCAAAATACGGCACAACTCGTAAAAATACTCAGGTATGTCACCGCCATATAAAAAAATCCGAGAAATCCTTTCAGGAAAAGAAACTGGAAACGTATCTCCTGAACCAGCGCGGTGCCACTTACCCTCCGGGCTCTAAAGTCCTCTAAAGGATATGCAATCAAAAAATGAGAATAAGATAAATAATAGTTTATGTTCACGTTGCTGCAAAATTTTTGTGAATATATTCCGAGACGAATTTGTTTCTGATATTAGAAAGACTTACCTCTCATGTTTTATGTTAAGAGTGCCAATGAGAGCATGTAAAAGTGAAATAAAAATAATGTAGACGTTCCTGCAGTTAACTGACGAGGATTGCTAACTTTTATTTGATTCTGGCGTTCTGATTCGATAAGCTGGAAACCACTCCGCTTCGCGTCATGGTTTCCTACGCTTATCTTGTGTTCTCCCAACCTCCCGCGTGTTTACATCAGGCTATGTAAACACGGAAACCATTTTACATTTCTTCATTATTACATGGCAAGGTAGTCTAGAGGTAAATTCGAGAATTTGAAGCAAATTGCGGCTTAGCGTCGGTTTCACGGGGAAGATTGAGTTTGTAGTAAATTGAAATGAAACTATAGTATATGTGCTTGAATTCTGCGTTGGATTTGTGGCCGCCCGATCATTTTGAGCTTGGATTTTCGCTTCTCGGAACGGACGTTCGGACATGCAGTGTGTTGCTCTGGGTTTCTACGACGTAGTAAACTTAGAAATGGATAACTCGCTAAAACGGGTTCCTTTTTAACTTAGTAAGCGGTCAGATAATAAGCGATACCCTGTGGAAGTAAGGTGAGAAATTTTAATTGAAAATTTGGATAACATTCATTTATCCCCATGAGCGGTGATAAATATTGTCAGACAGACGATTATAATTTCGCCACGACTCTTATTTCGCAAGATGATCATCTCACAGCAGAAGTTTGGGTCGCCTGTGGTATGAGTTCAGATAAATTAAGTTTTTTTCTTTCAATTAAGGCGAAGAAATGCGATATTTTCGTCCGTTTGAAAGTTATGCTCTCTTTCTGTTGCAAAAATTTACCACTAGGTACACAAAGAGTTCCATCTTAACCCACCCATGTTACGCATGTCCGCGTTCTTGAAAATAATGTCACGGATCAAGGGGCTGTGCACAAAGAATAACATAAATCAGAAATTTTGGGCTCATTTGATGAGTGTAATGGTTTGTTGCCTTCGCAAGAGCCTCGTCGATTAAGGTTGAGATTTATCGGGATATGAAAGGTTCGCATTTTATTTATTGTATCATTTTTAAGTTGAACGTGTTGTTACCGCTCCACTACTCATAACGCAAACGCCAAACAACTCATATTTCATCACGTACCATGAAAACAACGTCCAAAGTTCATTAGAACATACCCAATCCAAGCACTACATGAACATCAGGCAATTTTTCACGTGCTTGAATTGTATTCCACAAATCAAATTCACATCTGCGCGCGCCCCTGTATTACTCTCTGTTTAAGACTCATTTCCTCGGGAAAGTCCACAACGTATTACATCATCAACATCTGGTTTTTCCGAGAACGTCACGCAATGGTAAAGACATCATTATGGTCTTGAAACAAATAGTTAGTCATTTGCATCCAGTCGTGGTCGAGTGAACATCTTTTGTGGCAAGCTCGAAGCGTTGCTTCTACGTTACCGCGAGCTAAATTTCAGAGGAATTTAATCAAATACTTCTACGTCGTGAGACCACTAGGAAAAGAGTACCCTCTCGACACCGTTCGTGTTAAGTCACCTTCTGAAGAACTCATCAAAATATCTTCAGTCTTGCAAAATTTTACAAATTTAGCAGGTTCTTTAGGACGAATTCAGCTCTCCGTCGTTGACGAAACGTCGTTTTAAGGTAAGCTCTGAAATAATTAATCAAACCAAGTGTATTTTTGTCTCACCCACTCGCAGTGTTCCATCAGTAACATTGCCAGTTTGTATTAACAAAGAAAAACTTTTTACATTATAAAATAAAGACAATCCGGTATGAGGCGTGGGGTCTTGGTTTCATATAGGTCTTTCAGCAAGTGAGCCGGCAACAACGCACTAGACCATATGATCGCAGACAAGAGCAAGTTATGAAAATGTTATCGATCTAAAGTGCTGTGTCCCTGCTTACTCCATTTTTTTCAGAAGAATATTTAGTGAGAACCGAGAGAACTGAGTGTTACGAGACAATCTGAAGCCTTTTCCTTTTTATTTTGATTATAAACTACCGTCTACGTGTTACATCCTGTTCGCATTATAGAAATTGAAAGAAGAAGCAGTTGTCACAAACACACGTTTCGAGGGGAAGATGTAAAACGCTCCTTGCTTATTAAATGATGCAAAACTTGGCAGATATTTCAGTCAGAGAAAAATTTCAGGCGACAAATCAAAATACGAATTCTTTAACACACATTTGACTTCTTTTGAAAAAATGTTAATTGGTTTAATGAAGAACACAGCGTAACTGAATATTTATCAGCATACCTGTAGAAAATAAAAATAAGCTGAAATCCAGCAAAATATCGAACATGGATACATTAATGTTTTGTTCAATTATGTTATTGCTATGCGTTATAATACAAGTCTTAAAATAAAATAAATCAATTTCATCCGGAATACATCGATGTTGTGCAGCATACATCGCTTTCCTGACTCATTTATGCGTGACCTTATATAACTAAAAGATGTTCAATACATGCAGAGTGACTATGCAATTTCGGTACCTGACACAATTACTACTCTGACACATAACCAAGAATTGTCACTGCAAGAAGCTAGAGATGCAACCTTCCAAACTGGTGATCATGATGGAATCATGATGGAATCATAGCCTACCAAGTGGTATTGCAGATTGCTTCTTTTTAGTTAAACTGCTGTTCATGATTTACTGTAGTAACTTCATGTACTTGTAATGAACTCTTAACACAGTTAGTATAAATTGGTTACTGTTATACATGTCAGTATGCCAAGAATAAAATTACTATTGACAATGTAAAGGGGAAACAGTAACAATAATCAGTTATAATCTCAAATCTAACAGCCTAACTAATACAAAGGGCTGTAAAACTTCGAATAGCTGGGAAAAAAATACATGATGTTATAGTGGCATAATGTACTACATGCTTCATAGTATTAACACTTTAAACCTGAGATCTAGCCTTGATTTGCAATCACTCAAAACAATAGCAAACGAGGTAAAGCTGTGGCTACATTGCATGCACAATGGCTATTGCAGAGAAGTTTATACCCTTGTAATTGAGCTCTTGTAAGCTCTTTCTGTTAGTGTCGAGTTTATCATGCTGTTAACGAAACAATTAATATGCTGAGTAACTTGAAACTGAAACTTTGAACGTGGAACATTTCGTGAGTAACCTGAACGGATTTGAAAATTTTATTGTTTTATATGAAGGGTCCACTGGCATATTTTCCTTGGCCACTGCTTAGGAAATTAGCAGAGATTTTGTATTAATTTGAGCAGTTTTGATTTATAGATTTCATTAAGCATAGTAATTTTTTATTTGACTGTTAAATATTTTAAATCAGCGCTCGATTAAACGCAATTTTTAATTAAAAGACGGCGATTTTTTGAAGGTTTGAATAAAGACTTAAAAAAAAAGTTCAACTTCTTGAAAACAAAGCGAATAGTCTCAAAGGTAATCTATTGTTTATGCTATTGTTTTATTCTAACAAAGGACTGTATGCATAATGAAGTATGGGGCTGTGCGGAAACTTTGCCCAGAGATCACCTCAACTTCATTTGGGAAGGCTTCTATTCTAGAGTCAAAGTGACAAGAGTTCTTTCGTTTTCTCGTAAACGGCGACTAAAAAATTCAGCCGAGTCGTAGGACGCAGTGTTCCTTTGCCCTTCTGCACTTTCAAGTAGCCTGCCCAAAGACGTAAAAAATCCTTCGATGTTGGGCAGCCAAATCCGTGCACCTTCCATAGTGCTTCTCAAACTTCACTGATCATCTGCCCCTATTTCCGCCATTTTGAAAGTGTTAGTTTCCGGGGCTTCTTGTTTAATCTGACTTCCGGTCATTTCTATTTCCGCTTCCTCATCTTTTAGTTTTATGGAACATCTCTTAGCTATATAAGGTCACGCGCGAATGAGTCAGGAAAGTGATGTATGTTGCACAACATCGATGTATGACATCCAAAATCGATACATTCCGGATGGAATTGATTTACTTTATTTTAAGACTTGTATTATAACGCATAACAATAACGTAATTGAACAAAAGAACCCCATATCGCACATATTTTGGAATAAATGATCGTCTTCTTTGCTCTTTTTTTTGTCTTACATAAATTGACGAGTGAACCACATGCTCCTCGTTCTTGTTCACCATAACTCGAGTGGGAAATTTTACGAAAATTTGAATCGAGATTCCCTAATTGCATTTGTTTGTTCCACATAAACTCATGAGTGCACCACGTGCTACCCGTTCGTGTTTTTCCTTGAAGGCATTTTGGGTGGCGAACATTTATCTATTAGTTTAGTTTGGAATGACGGAAGGAAATAGTCCAATATGAAAGAAAGAAAACATTAGAATTGATCCGAGTCATTTCGTTAGTGCCATACCTCCTGACTGTGGTGTACTCAAAGTTCTACGGAGCATGCCCGAAGGTGTGGTGCAGGTTTGTGGTTTTCGCCTTGTTGTGACACATCTCTGGTGAAAATCTTTGAAGGATCTTTAACGATCCTACAAGATCTTTATGAGAACCTTTAAAGATCTTCAAAATTCTTGTTAATATCTTCAAGGGTCTTTCATTTTCTTGCCAGAATCTTCAAAGTTCTTGTCAAAATCTTCAAGGATCTTTTATTTTCTTGCCAAGATCTTTAAGGATCTTTCATTTTCCTGTCAAGACCTTCGAAGATCTTGTCCAGATATCTAAAGATCTTGACAAGAACTTTAAAGATCCTTAAATATCTTTAAAAATTTTTTGAGGATCTTCCAAATTCTTGTTAAGATCTTTGAAGATCTCTCATTTTCTTGCCAAGATCTCCAAGGATCTTTTACTTTCCTGCCAAGATCCTGAACGATCTTGGCAGGAAAATTTTGAAGATCCGTAAAAATGAAAGATCCTTGAAGATTTTGAACATTTATTTTTTATCCCACACATTTCTTTATAACTGTTTCTTGGCCAAGGCTTGGAGAGGTCGAGTATGATCGATATCTCGGATTTCTGGTAATGGAAAACTACCTTGTTGTCTTAAATAGAGTGAATTAATACTTAGAAACGAAATTACCATCAGAAAAGCAAGAAGAAGGAGGCAGTAGGGGAGGGGGTGTGCAGATTTTTGGGATATGTATATTTCTTTTTCTTTTGCTTCCCTGACCTAGTCTACTGATTACAAATTTTATTTCGCCAATTAAATTCCATTTTGCCAAATAAGACTTCGCTCCATCACGTGTCATTTACTTGTAAACAACCTGCATTTAATCACGTATTCTTACCTCAATATCCAACCCCACTGGAAAAAATTCCCACTAAATGCTACTGATAGTGAACTGTTAACGCAATTCATCCGCGTTCTGACTTTTTCTACGAATAAACTCGGCTTTTAACTACCTTGAACTTAATCCAATCGCGTGTTTATTCCATGTAAACAACCTGCATTTTATCAGGTATTTCACACACAGTGGGCAAAGTCTTGATAGGCAGCAACCAATCAAGGAGCCCTCTCTCAAATATTATCCTTTTCTCTTGTGAAATGTATCTTCATTTGGTCGAGATTGTAGTATATCTTTGGTTAGAGTCTACTGGAGATACAACAGAGTTTCAGTTTGCTTTTTGTAGTAAAATTACATAGAATTATATTTTTCAGGCATCTAACTGTAGACGAATAATTTTGATTTTCTCTCTGTTAGAGAAACAAGTGCTGCGAAGGAGAAAACAGTAAGCGTGGCACCAATCCATTTTATTTTTGCTTAGAAGTATTTAGACAATAGAGAAAATAGACCACAAGATACCTGTGTGAGTTCAGCTAAATTACCTTTTTTCTCTCTCTCTCTAAAGGTGAAGTAATGCAATATTTTCGATCTTTTATAAAGTTATGCTCTTTTTCTGTTACAAAAATGAAAACATTATGTACACAAAGTGTCCCATCTCATCCCACCCGGTCAAAAAAAATAACTCTTGCATGCTACGCATGCCTATGTTTTTACTTGGAAGTCAGAAAATTCACAATACACTAGATTAGTGTGAGTGACATTGGTGCATGACCATTACCTTGCTTTCTTGAGCTGTACTGGGAAATATTGGCACTGTGACATTTCTATACTGCCGTAACCATGGGCCAATATTCCCTAGTAAAGACTCGAGCTCGAATGGTCTATAAGAAGTTAGTACTGGCTTTGGAAAAAATGATCTACACTGTACTTGCATCTCAGGCTATTTTGAATTCCAGAACAATTGATTTCCTTGTTCCTCTACATTTCTTGAATATTTTTGTACGTGAAGACAGCCAGCAAGGATTTTATGATATTTGAAAAAACAACCAGTCTAGATTATCAGGATAATTAAAGTTAGCATCAAAGACAAATCAATTCTGTGCACAAAACAATGTAAACATGAAATAATTGCACAAACAATTAGTTTAACATACATATACTGGTAAACCACAAACATCAGCACCTGTACCAAATTGAAATCCATATCAACATACATCAGCAAGCATTGGTGAAAATATTTCATTGTTTTTCCTGTCATAAGTGTCCAGTTGAGCTAACTGCCAGCTGCACAAATATGGATGTCGGTTCAACTGGAGGAAATTGCATAAAAAAACTTACATATTTTGTAAGTTTTGACCAGTAATCCCTATTTAAAAATCAGATAAGAGAATTTTACTTTGGTTTTGTAAAAGTTGTTTCTTATGAGAAAGGATTCAGCATAAACTCTCTCCTCTTGTGGAGACATGGTGGCCTTATGATTAGTGAGGTGGAGTCAGGGTCAAGAGATCTGCGTTTGTAACCTGGCCAAGTCATGTGTTTTGTTTTTGTGCAAAATAATTTACTCTCACAGTACCCCTCTCCACCCAGGAGTATAAATGGGTACCAGAAATTAGTCAGGGGAACCTGATGAAATGGCAGGAGGGAAGAAGGAGGGGGGGGGGGGTAACCATGGGGTGTACCGGCATCATGTCCAGGGAGGAGTAGTAATACCTAGTCACTTCATGTGAGGAATCCAGGATTATAAGCTCAGGGCCTGGATGGGCCACTCTTAAATACAGACTTTACTTAACTATCCACAGCCTCTGGTTTAAATAACTTCAATTGCTGCTGTTACAAATTATATGAACTTGCAACATAAAAATGATGATTTTTGCCCAATTTATCTCAGTCAATTAGGATTGTCTTTTGTAAATCTTGAAATTTTCAAAAATCCAGGCAGAGGCGGAGTTTCAAAAAAATTTTCAAAAATCCAGACAAAGGCGGAGTTTTCTATACTAATGTCTGAGCACTTTGTAGGCTTCCTGCCATATGGCGGGACGCGTAATTAAGCACACAGTGGAAGGGCTCTTCCGTAATAGCTACAAGACGCTACAATTTCAAGTGTGCTGCACGTATCAGCACCCCCCGGGGAACCCCTTTATATAAGAGTGCGAGGATGCGCGCCGGGAATTTCGAAAACGACCCCTATAAAATTATAAAAGGTACCTGAGTCTTATCCGTGTGGGAGTGGCAACAACTGATATCTACCTCTTTAAAGTACCAATTTAAACACAAAAAATTGAAAAATCCCCAAAATAAAAACGTCTTTATCGATGTGCTCTAGAGGCTCAAATCAGATCATTAAAATCGTCCTGGTGCTTATCAAATGCTTATTTCAAGTATTTTATTGAGCGAAAAACACCCTAAAAGGTACCAGCTAGGTCTCTGGCAGTCCACTAAAGTTTGAGACACCGTAAAAGGTACCAGATCACTGATTTTGACCCCTGAAAGGTACGACAAGTATCCTCACCCATTTCCGATTGCCTCCTCCCTCACCTCCCCCACCAACCCTGTCAGCACCTAAAAACAAAAGATGTGATTTGCCAACCACGAGCTGTCAGTCTCACCTCGTAAAATTCACGTAAACTGGTTATTTACTTATAAAAACTTTAGGCACTTATCTGTCAGATTTTTATGTGGACAAAATCTGTCCTGCTTCGAGGCAGGACGGCTGTACTTTTTTTTGTTTTGTTGGTCTTGACATAATTTGGTAGGGATTAAAATAACTGTACGTCTGCATTTGTTAAACAGACTATTCAAGTGCATCCAGAACTCGATGTGTGCACTTCTAGTGCATTAAGTATTCTTTTGAAACATAGCCAAAGATCTTGCGATGTCTACTGTTCAAGCCTTTTTCTCTTTTCAAAGAGGCATCAGAATTATTTTCATGTCAAATATGCAGTAAATTGCTTGCGTGTCATCCTTTGTTTTCAAGGTGTCCGATCAGGTATGACTGAGAATGGCACCTCGCTTTGATACGAATCCTTTTGTTGTTGCTTCTAACTTCCTGAAATTATCACTTGAAATTTGCTCGGTAATGTAAAAAAAAAACGACAACAACGCGAGTAATACATATATATCCAAATTCTTTCATCACATGAAAAGTTATGAGTGTCGTACCGCGTTTACTTTACACAGGTACAAAAGGTTGTCCAGAATAAGTGTTTCGTTCTGGAATGAAAACCTCAATAAACTCTTTCAGAAATGACTCGTTTCGAATAATTTTACTCTGGTATCATGTGGCAATCGAGATAAATTCATTCTTGAACAAAACTCCTTCCGATATCATGTAAAAGGCCCCTAAGAGTTTTTATTCCCAGAGCATCATGCTTTGCTTTCCTGCCAGAACACTATAAATTTCAATAGCGTTGAAGCAACAACCCGCTTTGAACTGCTACGCTGCCACTAAAACAACAACAATTAGTGACCACAAAAGTAACATATTGTAATATTGTCAATTCAACATAAACAAAAATCTTTATACAGGGTAAATATGCATTTGCGTTGGTATCAATTATTGCGTGACTAGCTTCTGATATAACTGGGATAGGGGAAAACACAACGTAAAACCTGGGCTCCCGGCAAGAAGTGGTAAGAGTGTTATGTTAGATTTTTTTACAAATTGTAGTGATTTATGCCTCGATATGCCAATAAAAGGTGGCGACAAGTAGGCACACCATGTATATTTCAAAGTCGCTAGCAAGTAAATTTTGCCGAACTTTGAGTTCGTCTCAGATAGAACAACACAATAACACAAGAAAATTTTTACAGTAACCTTATAACCATCCTTTTGTCTTATAAAAGCTAGAAGTTCAGTAGATTCTGTCTTATTGGTCATTGTTAAAACTGTCTTTGTTTTGATGCTACTTTTCGACATAGAAAAAATATGTCGGACAAAAATATTCACCAAAACATAAATGTTGTTTTACCAGCCTCAATAATGTCAGGGGATTAAGTTTAGATGATAAAACAAAGGATTGTGCCAACAGAAATGCCGGAGGTCAAGTAAATTCGTTACATGAGGTCACACAACTCGGGTAATATTCAGAGTGAAAATTTGCATATTTGAGCGGTCGAACGAAAAAAATCATTTCTCAAAAACTAAAATGTATTTTCAAAAAAAAAATACACCACAATTATTAGAACATATTGGGATACAAAATATGAAAGTAGGAGAGAAAACGAATTTGGGCGACTTGCCGCTGTTTGTCTGATGCATGTTGACATTAGCTCTTAACTGGCTTCTGGTTTTGTGTCTATGTATCCCTCCCATTCTCAGGAGGCAAAAAATATTTATTTTGCAACTGGGTAATATGTTGAACTGATGTTTACAACCATTTTTAATCACCTTTTTTTCAGGCCAGGCTGACTTAAAAGAACAACTTTTTAAGAAGCATCAGTCTTCTTACAGTTGCTATGGCTACAGGAAGAAGTTCAATTAAAGTTCCATGTGAAAATGAAGACTTACCTGACAAAGAAAATGCACCAGATTTTGATGAGGACACTTTACGAGGTGAGCTAGGTTCAACTTCGGCTTCAGTTATTGTTAGAACAATTTCTATTCGATCAGTTTCAAGAATGCAAGAATATGTGGAAAAGGATATATACAGTGTATGACCACTTTAAAGGATACTTGACCAGTCATGACTCTCTTCTATGATTACAATATGCTGTTCATTGAGAAGATCTATGACACAGAAACTTTTGCTATTTTCTTTACTAACAGTTCAAAACACTAACACAAAGTTATAATAAGTTAAGACTTTATTTGATCATCATGTAACATCCATCGTAAGTTTGCATCATAGGTACCATCATCATCATCAACTAGTTGAAAGTCAAATTGCTAATTATTTCGCCTTTTACATAAAATTGTGTGGGGCATTTGAAAATTTTATTAATTTTGCCCAGGGAATAGGAATTTTAGGAAACCTATCTCCAAAAATTTAAATGCCCAGGGGTTTGCCTCAAGTTGAGTGATGCTTAATTCTCATCATTATTCTTACCCATGTTGTCACCTACATCATTGGCATCATCATAACTATTGAAAATCTGCAGATTTTAAATCTCCAGATCTTGGCAGCTCTGATTATACACGAATAATTATTAACTACGACCACAGACTTTGACACAAATTATTTTATTTTTTCTTTTATTTTTTTCTGAATTATTTTATTTTTTCTTTGCAGCCACAGCTGATGTTTATAGGAATGAGGGTAATGAGGCCTTCAAGAAAGGAGATTTCATCAATGCTATTCATTTTTACACCAAAGGAATTAAAATGAACTGCAATGACAAAGAACTGAAGGCCAAACTGTACAACAACAGGGCAATTGCACATTTTAAACTTGGTAAGATGATGAGAGCTTTAATATGCATTTTTTTTTCTATTTTGAAGCTATTGAGTTGTCAGTAGTAGTTTTCTGAAAAAGGTGATGATTTTGAATGCATGTCCGGAAAAATTTACATCTTATCTTGGCCTCTCAAATATACAAAGAAGTAACCTCTTACCCCAGATATCAATGAGCATCACAAGTTTTTCCCAAAATTATAGTAATGGTAGTTGGTTTGCAACATGTATGGCTAATCAGAGATATTTATTTCAATAATAGGAAATCACCAGGATTCACTAAGGGATGCAGAAGCAGCCATTGAGTTAAATCCAACTTTCCTTAAAGCAATTGTGAGAGGTTAGATATGTTAGCTGTACTATAATAATGATAATAAAAAAAGAACTCAACACTCTAAGGTTAAATGAGGTTAAATGGAGTTCAATCTTGTCTCAATTGACTTTAATTAAGAGGTTGAGACCACCCTGATGTACATTTGAATCCAGTTCTTGACTGCTACGCCAATACTTTCCATTAATCATGATGAGAATATTATTTTGAACGGGCTGAAGAACTCAATGCGGAATGTAAAGCAAAATTTCAGCATGAATATTTTAGTTCCTTAAGTTCAATGAGTCACAGGTGTCAGATATGTTAAGAGCGTGTCCACAAGAGCACCGGGCAGTCGTGCTACATGCCATCTCACCGATTTCAATGAAACTTTGCCAGTTTAAAGGGTCTACCCAAAACTCAAAAAGACAAACTGGTTTCTGTTTTGGTTTTTTTTCCGGGGGGAGATAGACCACCCCCCCGGTTTTTCTAGGTTTTCACCAAGGAAATCGCTTCAAATAGGTAAAATGTATAAAGCGCTCACTGTGATGGTATTTAACTGATTACTTTGAGGATTTGCACACATATTTTTACATCCTTAGTTAATGTCTGCTGCGAGTATCCGTCAGTTTGATTGACGGCTTGTCAATCAACAGAGGCAAATATACGACTGTGTTTTTAGACTTTTCGATTCATCCAAATATTTGACAACTTTGAGGTCAAATATCTCCCGTTGCCAGAAAGCTACAACACTAATCTTAATTACCCTTTATAACCCATCATTTCATCTCTGAAAATCATCAAAAAAATCTTTGGGCACTACCGTATTTTTGTCTTGGATACCTTTTAAAATCTGCGACTGTGACAAGTTTCTCTCAACTACACCTGTCACGCACTTCTTGCTCTAGGCGGTCACGACAAAATAAACCCAAATTTTTTAGCTCTTTATACAAGATGATTGATCAAGAAAGGTGAAAAATGTGAAAAACTTTCGAGAAAAACTTTCGAGATACATGTAGACAGACGGAAAATCAATGGGAAAATTTTGTACGGCACAAAACATTCATTAGTCTATAATTTGATTGTTTATCATCATCATTGCTCATTTTAGGAGATTTTAAAGTCACATGCTGCGTGTTGGCTGATATTACTACATGTTCTAGTGTGCTACAACTTCGGCTTTCACCGACGAGAAATTCTGCGCTCTCGCTTGAGAGCAAATATAATTTTTCTATCGGACTAAAAACTGTGCTTCTATCCCGAAAATAAAATTAAAATAGTGTTGTCGTTGTCACTTACCGCCATCGAACATTTACATGCAGAACTCCGCTAAGCTAACATGTGTTGTGTGACCCGAAGACTCTTAGTAGGAATTATTCAAGCTGTCTGCTAGATAACAATTTCAGAATAATCTGCAGATCTCTATGATTATTTACCTGCTTCGATCGTAAAATATCTGCATATTTTTTTCAAGCATTCTATTACTACCTATAAATCTACATCTCTCTAGATCGAGTGTTGCCGGCGTTTAATTGAGTGACTTTTTTAAATGAAATTTTTAAATAAGAATGAGCCAGCAGTAATTTGACGAGTAGCCTTCCTGCAAATTTCCCTTGATGAAATCCCAAGACATAGTCAGTTGTTTTCGTTAGAAAAGACAATAAATATGAAAGAAAAGTGAGATGCAAATGTCCTTTTTTTTTTTTTAGCTTAATAGCAGCTGTACCCTCTCCTGCAGTCTTCGTCTAAATTTTGCAAGGTCCCTCCTTATCTTCTGCCTTGTTCGGTCACTTTCGAATTCTGTAACTAGATCATTGGCATCGGCCTCTCCGTCCTCATTCATATTTACAGAGGGGGACCTCATCAATAAGTCAATTTTTGTTACGGCAGATAACCGGCTAAAGTATCGAGCGATTTGCTGCTGTATCAACCGGTCAGTCTTAGTCAACATTTCTGGCTGGTGTCGTCTCTTAAACTCGATATTTGGGAAGTCACATTAGAGGCGGTTGCCTTACTAGTTTCCTCCCTTGTCCAGCACACGTCTAGGAGATAATTCTCTGCTTTCTGAGAAAAGGTGGCTGTTTTTTGTGTTTTCCAAAGAGCCCATCCAAAGTCCAATTGGCTAGTTAGGGATTGTTCGTCAGAATTTTACCTGAGGTCCGACCTTGAACGTAGCCATCCCCTATAGAATGGCAAGCCGGTCTTAGTCCATTTCCTGGTGACTATCCTAGGCGGAATTTTTTTGTCGGCCTCACTGTGTTTGTCTTTGTCAGGGTGCATTTGGATGACAGCCGGTGACTGAAACGACTTGATACATCCTTCTTTTAGCAAGAATATCTCGCTTTCTTGTTCCGTCTATGACGGATTGGGTATAGTTCTCGCGATGACCCGCGTTCAGAAATCTGTGCACGTTGCTGATAACCACCCGCTTCTACGATTAATTTGCTGAAGGTTTCTAATGTGACGAGCCTAGTGAGACCCTGAGGTGCTTCAAACTGTGCCAGTTGGTCTGCGCCATAAACTTGTCGCAGTTCTTAAGTCAGTGGGAGGATCGCCCACCTCTATCTATGTGAGCTCCTCTACAGTACCTGCTTATCCCTAGCAATCATATGATATAAAGTTCATCTCAGTCACAAATCACCAGTTAGGAAAACTGATGTTCAGATAAGCGCTCTTCTTGCCCTTCTTCCTTATTCATTACCGACTCTAAGATAGCAGCTACAGTACGCGTTCTATTTAGGTTTACAGTCACCTTGCCGCCACCAGGAAGACTCGCCACCAGCTTTGATTTCTTCTGCCATCTGCAGATTCATCTCTCTCTCACTTTATGTCTCTGATTTTTATGAGGAGGATACTGGCATTTACGAACCCGAAGGTCTAAATCTCACACCAAGTTGTGCACGATATTTGAGGTACATCGTGAAATCGCGGCCTTCGTAATCTCCAAATAAGCCAATACGCGCTAGAATAAGCTCCATCTCGGACGAAACGCATGTTTGGGATACATCGACGTCTCTCAAATGTTTTTTTTAAGCTGTATACCCACGAATTTAGAGGTGTGAGCTGTATCCGTCCCTGGCCAGCGCGAGAAAAATAACATTTGGTTCTACAGTTAGTTGCAAATGAACAAGACAACTGCACCATCTTGACTTTATCAATTCGAGTGTTAAATTGAAGTAAGGGCTTTTTAGACACTCGATTCCTTATATGACATCACTATGAAGACGTAATACAACTGATACACCTACACTACATAGCATTAACAATGTCTGTTGCGCTGTTACGAGAAGGAGGAAAATATTACCGGAAGTGTAAACTCTTTTTAAAAAGAGTTTCAGAGACGTTTCAGAGATGTCTATCTTTGATCGGCTGTCACAAAAAAATGACCCCCACTTAAATTTACTAGGAAAAATGAACTTACCAACTCTTCATAAATTGGCTAATGAATAAAGAGTTTTGAAATACCGTTCGGGATTTGCCTTTTTTTTATGCGTGCAAATCAAGGGTAGACAAAGTTTTTAAAACATTTGACTAGAATTACATGGAGTTGACCTCGATAGTTTTCGTCAGCCAGAGTCAAGACGCGCCAAGCTAAGCGACATCGCCCTCTAGTAAAATAATTTTCCAAAGAACAAACGTGGCGAGCGTGAGGAAACGCACATTTTTCTCATCATTGTGATCAAAGCCCAATAATGTACCTAAATTGGTACTTACGGTATCAAACCATTGATTATGACAGGTTGAGCTTAGTTTTTCTGTCGAGGTCGACGTGACTTCGCATTAAAAGCATTTTTGACGGAACAAACTAGTGAGCATCAGTGCACGAACTAAGAAAGTAAAAACTTGTATTTATCTCCCACGCGTTTCGTCTGACAATAGTAGACTTCATTAAGGATTTTTTCAAGTAGGCTAAATAAGCTTGTTCATATACAAATAGTAAATAAGTTGTCTCTTTGCTATTGAAGCCAGTGGATAGAATTCGCCAGGTGCGCCTACGGTGTTATACATGAGTGACATTTTCCGGACGTTACATGTACGAGTACGTGATCCGTTTGAGGGTCACAGATTTAGTGTAAATATTTCACTCCTCCACATCACCCAATGTCTCTAGTTTACAGAGGTCTTAGAACGTTTCATTGTATGGAGTTGCCTTCTGCGGATAGAAGGCTACAAGCGAATTTCTCAGGCGTAATTGCCTTTGATTTCTCAATTGATGTTGTCGCAAACACAGTTTTTGGGAGTCACGAGACAAAAACTTATCAGGACCTAGTTTCATTTGCTAATGGAAATAAATAGCAAATAAAAACACATTTTCTTGTGAAATAAAGTCACAAATGACGGGGGTTCTCCGAAACAAATAGTGATAGAAAAGGATTTCAGTTCTGGTCGATATTGACTTTTCATGGCCTACTTCCAAATCTGAGGGAACGCGCTGAGGGAATAAAAAAACATAAATGTGTGATAATGCAAGCAAGAGAATGAAAATCCAAATGAAGAAAAAGGAGAAAACATAGGAAGCCGTGTTGCAGCGTGCAGATATCTTTTGAGCCAGACCTACACACCTAAGCCCGACACCACCCAGAGAAACTCGAAAGAGTCCTGTATATGAACTAGCTCGCACGTGCACGCAGGAAAGGCCATGACAATCAGCGAAAATAATAGCAAATGCAAATGATATTTGAAGTCAAAAATCAGGAAAATAAGATAACAGAAGGATTAAGAACTTTCTCGAAGTGTCTTCTTGAAAAAAAAAGATGAACAATTTTTACTTCTCATGAAAAGTCACGCAGTAACCCTACAAATACTATTTCTTTAAGTTGAATTTCTTGATGGTGGAAAGTGGAAAAAACATTTTCCAGTCTTATTTTCTGGAAACATGGCGCAGTTAATAAATTTATGGAGTTATTGATATTTCCTATCAAATAAGGGGGGCAGAGTTTCCTGTCATGCGCGGTATGGAAAAGCCGAAGTTGTTACACTCGGGAACTTGTACGTCAACAAGCAGGCGACATGTGACTTTAAAATCTCCTCTCCTGTTACAGTTTCCTTATTGTAAACTGTGTGATGATAATAATAGACGATCAAAGTATAGGCTAATGAATGTTTTGTTCTGTACAAGAGCCCTATGTCCTGATTTTAGCAAATCTTCAAAGTAATAAACGACTGAAGAAAGAAACGCTACGATTTTCCCATTGATTTTTCGTCTACATGCATCTCTCTAAACGTGAAATTTTCCATTCCTACAAAAAATCCCGAAAGTTTTCCACTTTTTTACCTTTCTTGATCAATCATCTTGTATAAAGAGCTAAAAAATGTAGGTTTATTTTGTCAAGTGACCGCCTAGAGCAAGAATTGCGTGACAGGTGTAGTTGAGAGAAACTTGTCACAATCGCAGATTTTAAAAGACATCCAAGACAATACGGTAATGCCCAAAGATTTTTTTGATGATTTTCGGAGATGAAATGATGGGTTATAAAGTGCAATTAAGATTAGTCTTGTAGCTTTCTGGCAACGGGAGATATTTGACCTCAAAGTTGTCAAATATTTGGATGAATCGAAAAGTCTGAAAACACAGTCGTATATTTGCCTCTGTTGATTGACAAGCCGTAGATCAAACTGACTGATACTCGCGGCGCCTATTAACTGAGGATGTAAAAATATGTGTGCAAACCCTCAGAGTAATCAGTTAAATACCATCGCAGTGAGAGCTTCATACATTTTACCTATTTCAAGCGATTTCCTTGGTGAAAACCAAGAAAAACCGGGGGGGGGGGTGGTCTATCTCCCTCCGGAAAAACTTACACAGAAACCAGTCTGTTTTTTCTAGTTTTGGGGTAGACCCTTTAAACTGGCAAAGTTTCACTGAAATCAGTGGGATGGCACGTAGCACGACTGCTGGTGTTCTCGTGGACACGCTCTTAAGTCACTATCTGGCTGTTTTAAAAAGAAGCATCAGGACTTAACTAACTCTTAGTGTTTTTGTTGGAGTTGTTGATCCCAATTTAAGTGTTCTTGGAAGTGTTAGTTGTCTGTAAAGCTAAATAAATCTAACTGAAACCTAATAGGGCCTGAAGAATTTAGATATATGAAAATTCACATATTTGCACTGCGGTGGAGAGATGAAATTAGAAGATCCTCGCAGCTAAGAACACTACTGAAACTAGTAGTTGTAAATAGGACCTGAAAAATTCAGGCCCGCACGGGATTTGAACCCATGACCTCTGCGATACCGGTGCAGCGCTCTACCAATTGAGCTAACAAGCCAACTTGGAGCTGGTCAATGAATTGGGTACAAATAAACATCCAAGTGAATGAAGAATTTAGATATATGAAAATTCACATAATAGGGCCTGTTTATTCTTTTCCGTTTAGTTTTTTTGTTTTGTTTTGTCTTTTTTTTTCTTCTGGTCTGTAATGATTTCAATGGTTTCAGGTTCTTTTCTCAGAATTGAGCTACAGTAATAGTATGCTTCTTTGTGTTGTTGCCTACAGGAGCCACTGCTTGTGTGGAATTGAAGAGATTTGAAGAAGCAATCACTTGGTGTGATAAGGGACTAGCTGTATCCTTTGAAGGAATCTTTCATTTTTAACCGTGGGTATAATGGAAATAGCTTCCATAATTTGGTGTTTCAAGGGAGAAAATACAAATAAGGGTATTAATTATGATGGGAACTTGTCAGCTCACATACTTTAAGTGTGTGTTATTAAGAAACGTACGAAAAGTTATTACCTCGTTACTTATTAAAGATATTACTCCTTTTAGCCAATTTGACTTAGTTATACTATCCATGCCAATAACTGGTACATTAGTTTAGATAACCCTTTAATTCATAGACCAAGTTTGTAATTATCCTTACTGTTAACCAAACGATTTTTGTAATGTTAGTTCAAAGAATTCAGCATTGGATCAACTAATTATCCCCAAATTGATATTTTTTTTTACTCTCAACACTCATCTGATTGATATTGTATTGCTGTTGTAAGGAAAAGTTCTCTCTTGGTCACTCATGGGAGTTAAAGGGTTAAAAGACTAATATTCATCCAGTTTATACATAGTACGTGGGTAGGTGATCTCTAAAACAAGCCAGAACAAAAAGCTCGTTTAGATATCTTATGCAGATCTTCTTGCCTTCGACCTTTTTCCACTACTTAGAGACTCGGAAACTTTCGTCCTGCTTTCCTATGGACAAATAAAAATTTTAAAGACACGTATTGGTGTTGTAGACTCATTTCTTCCACTGCTGTAAAACATTCGTCTGATGTTAAAGCTATATTAATTTAAAAATTGAGCAAGTACTGCTCAGGTTTTTGGAAACTAGGGATTAAATTTAGATATTTCGCGTTAAATTTTGAGGCTGCACACTGAAAAAAGATTTTTTGAAATGTAAATTTACTTCATAACTGACTTTAAGACTGAATATAGATAAAACATCTATCTTTCATGCAAGCCCTCCTAATGGGCCATTTTATAGTTGTGTACTTAGTTGCCAAGCCTTTGATTTGGAGTAAAGCTGAAGATGACCTTGTTGTGATAGAGACCAGTATCTAGAAACGATAATAACAAAGTAGTTTGCTTTAATTAGCAGCAATGTTTTTATCATAAAGAGGTCACCCTTAGCCACACTCCTGTTGAAAGGCTTGAGAACCAAGCACGCAAATGTTAAAATGGACTATCATAAATCAATATGATCAGAAAAATATTATTTTTTTTGTTTTTTCCACATTTTTAACCCTTAACATAAAAAAGATTGGAAAAAGCAATAGGATCTTGTTGTCATTAAGACTTCAGTCTGTCAGTGAAGTGGGAGATAAGTCCATGGAGGAAAAAGATCCTATTGGTCATGACCACGGTAGTGCAAGTTCAGGTGATGTCAAGAAAGTCATAGATCTCTATAAACGGGGAGAAGAAGCCATAGAGTACCACAACCTACATCTTAAAATAGCTAAAGAAGTAGGAGACAAGCATGGGGAGGGTAACGCTTACGGCAATCTTGGCAATGCTTATGGCCGTCTGAGTGATTTCAAAAAAGCCATAGAGTACCACAACCTACATCTTAAAATAGCTAAAGAAGTAGGAGACAAGCATGGGGAGGGTTGTGCTTATGGCAATCTTGGCAATGTTCATCACCGTCTGGGTGATTTCAAAAAAGCCATAGAGTACCACAACCTACATCTTAAAATAGCTAAAGAAGTAGGAGACAAGCATGGGGAGGGTGGTGCTTATGGCAATCTTGGCAATGCTTATTTTAGTCTGGGTGATTTCAAAAAAGCCATAGAGTACCACAACCTACATCTTAAAATAGCTAAAGAAGTAGGAGACAAGCATGGGGAGGGTAACGCTTATGGCAATCTTGGCAATGCTTATTTTAGTCTGGGTGATTTCAAAAAAGCCATAGAGTACCACAACCTACATCTTAAAATAGCTAAAGAAGTAGGAGACAAGCATGGGGAGGGTGGTGCTTATGGCAATCTTGGCAATGCTTATTTTAGTCTGGGTGATTTCAAAAAAGCCATAGAGTACCTCAACCTATATCTTACAAAAGCTAAAGAGGTAGGAGACAAGCATGGGGAGGGTAACGCTTATGGCAGTCTTGGCAATGCTTATTTTAGTCTGGGTGATTTCAAAAAAGCCATAGAGTACCACAACCTACATCTTAAAATAGCTAAAGAAGTAGGAGACAAGCATGGGGAGGGTGGTGCTTATGGCAATCTTGGCCATCCTTATTTTGGTCTGGGTGAATTAAAAAAAGGCATAGAGTACTACAACCTAGCTCTTAAAATAGCTAAAGAAGTAGGAGACAAGCATGGGGAGGGTGGTGCTTATGGAAATCTTGGCAATGCCTATCACAGTCTGGGTGCTTTCAAAAAAGCCATAGAGTACCACAACCTACATCTTAAAATAGCTACAGAAGTAGGAGACAAGCATGGGGAGGGTAAAGCTTATGGTAATCTTGGCAATGCTTATGGCTGTCTGGGTGATTTTAAAAAAGCCATAGAGTACCACAACCTACATCTTAAAATAGCTAAAGAAGTAGGAGACAAGCATGGGGAGGGTAACGCTTATGGCAGTCTCGGCGATGCTTATTTACGTCTGGGCGATTTCAAAAAAGCCATAAAGTACCAAACCCTACATCTTAAAATAACTAAAGAAGTAGGAGACAAGCATGGGGAGGGTAAAGCTTATGGCAATCTTGGCAATCCTTATTTTGGTCTGGGTGATTTCAAAAAAGCCATAGAGTACCACAACCTACATCTTAAAATAGCTAAAGAAGTAGGAGACAAGCATGGGGAGGGTAACGCTTACGGCAATCTTGGCAATGCTTATGGCCGTCTGAGTGATTTCAAAAAAGCCATAGAGTACCACAACCTACATCTTAAAATAGCTAAAGAAGTAGGAGACAAGCATGGGGAGGGTAAAGCTTATGGCAATCTTGGCAATGCTTATCACCGTCTGGGTGATTTCAAAAAAGCCATAGAGTACGACAACCTACATCTTAAAATAGCTAAAGAAGTAGGAGACAAGCATGGGGAGGGTAAAGCTTATGGCAATCTTGGCAATGCTTATTTTAGTCTGGGTGATTTCAAAAAAGCCATAGAGTACCACAACCTACATCTTAAAATAGCTAAAGAAGTAGGAGACAAGTATGGGGAGGGTTACGCTTATGGTAGTCTTGGCAATGCTTATATTAGTCTAGGTGATTTCAAAAAAGCCATAGAGTACCACAACCTAGATCTTAAAATAGCTAAAGAACTAGGAGACAAGCATGGGGAGGGTGGTGCTTATGGCAATCTTGGCAATGCTTATCACCATCTGGGCGATTTCAAAAAAGCCATAGAGTACCACAACCTACATCTTAAAATAGCTAAAGAAGTAGGAGACAAGCATGGGGAGGGTTGTGCTTATGGCAATCTTGGCAATGCTTATATTAGTCTGGGTGATTTCAAAAAAGCCATAGAGTACCACAACCTACATCTTAAAATAGCTAAAGAAGTAGGAGACAAGCATGGGGAGGGTGGTGCGTATGGCAATCTTGGCAAAGCTTATCACGGTCTGGGTGATTTCAAAAAAGCCATAGAGTACCACAACCTACATCTTAAAATAGCTAAAGAAGTAGGAGACAAGCATGGGGAGGGTAAAGCCTATGGCAATCTTGGCAATGCTTATGGCCGTCTGGGTGATTTCAAAAAAGTTATAGAGTACCACAACCTACATCTTAAACTAGCTAAAGAAGTAGGAGACAAGCATGGGGAGGGTAACGCTTATGGCAATCTTGGCAATGCTTATGGCCGCCTGGGTGATTTCAAAAAAGCCATAGAGTACCACAACCTAAATCTTAAAGTAGCTAAAGAAGTAGGAGACAAGCATGGGGAGGGTCGTGCTTATGGCAATCTTGGCAATGCTTATTTTAGTCTGAGTGATTTCAAAAAAGCCATAGAGTACTACAACCTAGATCTTAAAATAGTTAAAGAAGTAGGAGACAAATGCTTGGAGGCAATGGCTTACGGTTCATTAGGATGCGTTTTTGAGCTGCAAGGTGGACTGCCAAAAGCCGTTGAACATTACCAAGCTAGCATAAACTTATTCAATTCCTTGAGAGTACTTTTAAAATCTAAAGATGAGTGGAAAGTTAATTTTCGAAATCAGCATCAAGTGGCGTATACGGGTTTGTGGAGAGTTCTCGTAGAACAAGGTAATGTACATGGAGCCTTATTAGTTGCTGAGAAAGGACGAGCTCAAGCTCTAACCGACCTCATGGAATCCAGTTTTCGTGGTGGAACAAGTCATCACAAGGGAGAAGATGAAGATTGCGCAGTTTTAAAAAACGTTCCATTTAACACTGTCTTTCAGGCAGTGGACCAAACTGACATCAATCTTTGGGTTGTGTCCGAAGGAAATCATGTTCAGTTAAGACAAAGTAAACTCAAAAGTTTTGTTTCAGAGAATAGTGGAGCCAGCCAGTCCTTTGAGTCGTTCATGCACGATGCCTATAGGCAACTTGGTGTTCGTTTTAATGTGAAATGCGAGAATCGATCTTTAGATGCTTTGAGGGAGAACCAGTCAGAAGTGGATGAGGAAACTAAAGAAGATAACCCTCAACTTCCCATCCAACAAGATGAATGCTTAAGCACTTTGTATGATACCGTTATGAAGCCGGTGGCTGACTTGCTTGAAGGGGATGAGCTCCTCATTATTCCCGATGGACCCCTTTGGCTCGCTCCTTACGCTGCATTGAAGGATGGTAATTCCAAATACCTGTGTGAATCGTTCATAATTCGACTCGCTCCATCTTTAACAAGTCTTAGACTCATTGCCGATTGCCCCGATGATTATCACAAAAGCAGTGGTGCGTTACTTGTAGGAGATCCGTGGGTAGCCGAGGTTACTGATGGCAAGGGAAAGAAAGTCCTCGAGCAGCTTCAGTATGCTAAAGAAGAAGTAGAAATGATTGGAAAAATTCTGAATGTTAAGCCAATCACTGGTAGTCAGGCCACGAAACGTGAGGTGTTGAAAAGACTCGGTTCCGTTTCCTTAGTTCACTTTGCGGCACACGGATGTATGAAAACTGGCGAAATTGCTCTTACACCTAACCCAGACCGAATATCTACTGTGCCAACGGAGGAGGATTTCATTTTAACAATTGGAGATGTGTCGAGTGTTCAACTTCGGGCCAAACTTGTTGTGCTTAGTTGCTGCCACAGCGGCCGGGGCGAGATCAAGGCTGAAGGTGTGGTTGGCATTGCGCGCGCTTTTATGGGGGCTGGTGCTCGGTCTGTTGTGGTATCCCTGTGGGCGATTGATGACGAGGCTACTCTTGAGTTCATGAAATGCTTTTATCAACACCTTGCAGAAGGTAAACCTGCAAGCGAGTCACTGAACCTGGCCATGAAAAGCCTCAGAGAATCGGACAAGTTCCGCGACATCAAACACTGGGCGCCCTTTTTGCTGATTGGAGATGACGTCACTCTTAACTTCATGGCAAAGGGAAGAGAAAATTTAAATGTAAAATCACATAAATGAAAATTGTCTTTTTTTCTCATCCCAAAAAAAACGACGTAGGAACTTGGACAGCTTAAATGTTTCTCTATTTTGAGAATTTTAACTATTTTTCATTGCATTTTACTTTTTTGTTAAATAGAACTTGAGATGAAGAAATAAAAACAGTCTATTTCAAATGTTTTGATCAGTGGAATTGTCTTTTTAGTTACCTTTAAAATTTAACTGCTTACAAAGAGAACGAAATGTAACAAGGCTTCTCTTATGAATGCCGACAGTAGTTGAAGGAGATTACGAGGTTTTTGTTTTCGTCAAAATGACACTCAGCTCTATTCCTGTATCACAATCAGTTTTATGGAAAACAATTTAAAGGCTTCTTCTTTTACATAACCATGAGCTTGTTCACCGGGTTTTAATTACCTTTATACTCTAAGCGTTTGATAAGCAAAGAAACAGTTCGTCATTTGCAAAAGTTGGCCAAATTGTTATTTCCAAAAGGTTGATTTGCAAAATTTGCAGCAATATGTTAATAAAACTTGGGTGATTTCTCTACATCATAAATTACTTTGTTACAATTTGAGATTATCTTCACAAGAGAAATTGACTAATATTTTTTTC